CTTTCACTACATTAAAATACTCAGAATCGGGATAACTAGGAGAAGCACACAATGTGGAGGAGAGGGACTCAGAAGCGGCAGCGGCTGCGGCAGCAGCAGCAGCCATGGCAGAAGCAGCAGCAGCAGCATGAGGGCAGGATGGAGGGGATTTGGTGGTGGATATGGAGGCAGTGAAGCCGCAAGTGTGCCGGAAGTTCACTCAGGAAGAGCTGGCAAACGCAACAGCGGATTGGGCCGAGGGGAACAGGATTGGCAGCGGCAGCTTTGGGGATGTGTTCAAGGGCGTGTCTCCATACGACCCGAATGAGATATGGGCCAGAGTTCTGGAAGCGATCCAGAATTCTGTCCAATGATTTCCTCACAGAGGTATCACGCCGCAATAGTTCCGTTTTTGGCTTTACACTAAAGCATGTATTTTTCACTCTCTTTCCCCGCCCTGTCTCCCTTTCTTGTTCCCTCATTCCCTTCAGAATTCTCCCTCCCTCTCTCCCTTTCCCTCTTCTTTTCCTTTTCCCTTCCCTCATAATTTACAGTTGCCCTTCCCTCATTCCCTTGTTTCTCAGGTGGCATCAAGAACCAGCCCCAATATCCATCTTCCCTTCACTCTCAGGTGGGGGAGATGGCATCCAACCTCCACCCGCACCTGGTGCGTCCATTGGGCTTCTGTGTGAACTTCGATCTTACCACGAGCCGTGTGGAGCAGGCGCTTGTGTGTGAGTTAATGGCCAATTAAAACCTTGAAGGCTGGATTGGACCAGGTAATTTTCTCGCACCTCTCACCTCACCCTTTGGTGAGATCTTCTGCTGGTTGTTTTTCTACGCGTGATTCCCTGCTTGTTTGTGTGTTCAATCATGTCATTCCTACTTCCTTAGAGGTTTTGATCTCTTCATAAACGCTACCTTGAAAAGTCGATCCACCTCATGCGTTAACATAAAACGTTTAAAATATGAACTTCCTCGTTTTTTAAATAGTGACAAATAGTGAACAGGCTAGAAGCATTTCTTCATTTATTATCAGTCCTCTTCTTCTTACCTCTTTCCACGTGCTCCTAGCCCTCTTTCACTTCTGCAACGTCTGGACATCCTAATTGGAGTGGCATAGGAGTTGCAGTACCTGCATGACTTCGGCACTGTGCATCGCGACATCAAGTTCGCCAACATTCTCCTTGACACAAAAATCCAGGCATGCCAAGACTTAATTTTCTATCGAGGATTGCCTTTGCCTCTCAACTCGTTTTTTGCCCTCCCATACTTTCCCTACCCTGGCTTAGTGAAAATGGATGGTGGGCTCTGTAATGCATTATTAACTCCGCCATTGTGCACATATTATTGATAACCAGGCAAAGATTGCATACTTCGGGCTTGTGAAACTCACTTGGGGCACCCACTATGGATACATCTGTGGCTGCCACTCGAGTGATGGGAACACCGGGCTATGTGGACCCAGCCTAATACACGTCTCACAAGGCCACCACAATAGCAGACGTCTACAGGTGAGCAGGGAAATATCGGCTTGCTTGTTCTTTGCACCAAATCTGTATGTGTGTGCTGCTACGACACAAATGCTCCGTTGTAACTTTTGGGTCCACCCAATTCTTCTCCGTGTTCGCTATTGGGAGCTTTGGAGTTGTGATGCTGGTGGTCATCTTGGCGTGCAAGGCCGTGCATGTGGGAGAGGACAGCCAGATCAGACTGAAGCAATGGGTGAGGCATAATAGCCAGATGCAAAGGCGTATCATGAATATATTTCTCTTGTTGAAGGATCGGCATCACAACGCAATCACAATACTATTTTGTCATGATTCCCATATGGGTATAATTGTACCCTAGCACCTCGGCCCATTTGTGGAATCACGTGTCGTGACAGTGTTCAAGGACCCTTAACTGGATGCTCCGAATGATCTCGTGCTGCACTTGGCCCACCTTGGCCTCTCCTGCACTGCCATGCCTGCGGCTTCCCGCCCCTCCATGAGCCAACTACTGGGAGAGCTGGTGAAGATCAAGCAAGAAACCTTTGGAGCACACGTGATCAAGGTTGTGTCCACGATCTTCATGGAAACTGGTAGAAGAAATTTCTGAATAGCATGGCTACCAATAAGGAATATAAAAGATGCACATTGCATACTATGTAGATGCCAAATCTATTGCTCCTGATGATATCTTATCATATGATACATGCATGCATGCTGTGTAGCACCCCTCCCCCCTCCTCTCTACTCTCCATACTCACGCCAACAAGTCGAGCATCCGAAACTTCACGTTCGTCCTCTTCATCTCCCACTTCTGCCACCCATTCAGCCTTTCGAAATGATGGCTTCTCATCTGCTGCTCATTGATCAGAAAGTGCATGTTGTCAGACCTCGGTCACTAACCACTGAGTTAAAAGGGCTTGTTAAAGAGTGGGTAAGTGTGCCTATAACCCCCCAGGCTCTGCACGTGTGACCCTTCCCCGAGGATCTCAAGGGCAACCCCAACGGGTCTCTCGATACCCCCCCCTCGCTGGGATAGGGCGGAATACTTGGCACCTCTGCCGATGCAATGTTACCTCTACCAGTGCACACAGGGAGTTGAACCCGAGACCTTTGGCTATGATACCATGTGAGAACTCAGTCACTAACCATTGAGTTAAGGGCTTGTTCAGTAGTGGGTAAGTGCGCCCATAACCCCCCAAGCTCTGCACCTGTGACCCTTCCCCGAGGATCTCAAGGGCAACCCAAGAAAGTCTCTCGACACATGTGCCGTAGACTCAATTCAACCTCAAGCCCGCGTGCACATGCGTACCCTAGACTCATTCTCACACGTCCAACTTCCGGAACATCACATTCACCCTCTTCACCTCCCTCTGCCACGCTTGCAATAAGCCTTTCTATCTGATGCCTCCTCGTCTGCTGCTCATTGATGAAAATTTTCATGTGCTGTAAGCTTAACCTCACTCCAGCATGCCTACCCCCTTCTACCCCATCGTAAACCTAGGGTGCATAACCTGGAACCTGCTAACCACATCCGATAAGTAAAATGCCAGTCCATAAAAATCCCGCATTCCCCCCACATTGGTAGCCCCTCATCGAGGCCCACAAGGGCGAGAAATGTGTCTCTTCACCATGAAAAATGGTGCAAATTCAACTAACCCCTTGAAAAAATCCACTGGGTTGGTTCGGGGGTCGTAAGATGGATGGGAGCATAGTCACCCGCCGAACGTGCACTAGGTTAGGGCCAAACCCTAGTTACTCTCATCCACGTCGTCGATTTTCCCTGTCCTGTAACCCACAATAGCAAGTAGGGGCCTCGAATCCATCTCATGTATTGTTCCCCATAGCCAACTGATGTTGCCGCTGCTATTGCTCATATGGTTTCCTTTTATTCTGCCAGCAGTAAGCACACTAGCAAAGCTGGCCAGAGCAGCAGGGTCATCAATGTTAGTTAGCGCCTTCCTCCCGTACCAGTACTCCCTCGACTCCTTCCACTTGTCAGGTCTATCTGCATGCACTAGCATCTCAACCACCCTTACTATTCCTTCCTCCGTGCCCCCCCCCCCCCTTTCTCCATTATCCGACATCTTCCCCCTTCATCTTCCTCCCCCCCCCCCCCATCCCCCAATCACGCCCTCCCCATTTCTGGCACCCCCTCATTCCCCCAATCCCCCCCCGATTTCCTCCACTTCTCCTTCCCCTTGCATCACTATTCCTACAGTAGGTGCATCTTGGGTGGGAGAGGAGGGGAGCAATCATATATGGCTGGCGGAAATATTGTAGGAGGAAAGAGACGGCAAGGGGGGATGAGGGGAAGAGGTGGGGGGAGAGTGAGGCGAGGGGAGAAGGGGCTCTCAAACCCATGCGGGTGCAAGCATCCCTACCCCTCCTCTATCATTTGCACTACCACAAGATTTGAAAACTTGCCCGTTCATTCCTTCCATATTTCTTGCCCTCCTTCCTTTGCGCTATCCTTTCCTCCCTTGAATAAATGCATTCTCTTTTATGGCTTAGCTAGACTCGTTGGTTTCGCCAATCAACTGCCTCACGACCGTCGCCCTTTCGAAGCTGACTAGACACGTACTCCATATGAGTCTATGAGGTTGCTGAGTCGTGCAATGTGCTCTTTACTTCATATATCATAGACTGCATTTTAATTGAATTACACAGATATTGAAAACACTACCTATAAGGCGTATTTTATCACATTCAAATGTGTCGTACATCTCGTTGTTCTATATGGTATATCTATATATTTATATATTCTGGAATTTTGCCAGCATACATGCACGCCATCCATTATGGGGTTTCTTCATATTCTAATGCTCAATTTGACTACCAATGTAGGTTATTATGGCTTCTCTTTTTTGCAATTTATTGGGTACAAAACAACTACGAAATGGAACTTTGAAGGTACACTGACCGTCTGAACTGCCCAGGAGGAACTCAAAACGTTTCGTGAAGACGTGTGTCTTACGGTTCCGCTCCTGGAAGTTCCGGAACTAGTTCCGGAACTGGCGAAGATTTTGCCAGGGGAGGAGCTCGCGAAGCCTTGTCGAAATATCCTACGACCTGTGTAACCATTCCGAGTTTCCGGAACTTGCCGAGTTCCGGAACTGTAAGACACACGCCTTCACAAAGCGGGGTGCCAGGTTACCAACTGCGCACATCTGGAAATTCCCGCCTGGCCCATTTCCGCAAGTTCAGGGGCGGCTCCAACAAAACGTTAACTCTGCCAAGTCCGTCATCTCAACGAGCAATCCACCCATTCATTCGCCTCTCACCTGCATCTGACCCACTTCAAGCCTAACTGTTCCGTCCTTCGAGTTCCACCGTCAGCCGTGTTCCGTCAGTTTTTCAAATTCTCCACGTCCTTCAACTCATCGATCTCCCGCCGTCAGATTCTCACAGGACCAAATGTTTACAAAATGTAGGCCGAAGAATCGCGTTTTACCGCTCAGCACCGCATCCGGCCGCATGCTCACAGCAGTAACCAAGGTAGATCCATGACTTGGGAAGCAACAGAGGCACAGCACAACAAATCCATCACCATAGCGAGCTAAGTAGCGGTTCTCACGCCGCTTCGTGTGTGGCGATCGCGACCACGATGGCGAAGCCGTCAGACGGAGTGGTACCTTGTAGGTAGTAGACCCGCCGCCGGCGAATCAAGTGCAGGGACGTGGCAGCTCGCCATTCGTCCGTCAGGATGTCGTCGTCTTCGCGAGGCGACTCCGTCCCTTCCTGGCTGACGGACGTCTATAAAGATGACACATCGGTTAGTATTGCCACCCGCTTACGCTCCTCTTCTACACGAATGCGAGGGAAGTGCTAGGTTTAAAGATCGTTCTGTCCGCGTTTTCTACCTTAGAAGCTTTGGTCGTTATGGTGAGGCCGTTAGGTTTCCAGGACGGGACTTTCGCCGTGATTACCGATTAGAACTCTTTAGTCGTGAGCTACTCGGACGTATCGAATTCAAACGCGAGCCAGCTTGTTGCATTCCAAGATGGAGATTATCTGCCCTAAAACGTCCGCGCGGCGTCCACGTGGCTTCCACGTGGCGTTTGTCCCCTCTGGACACGTCGGATGGAGATGATCGTTGCGCTCTCTTGGTCTGGACCCGCTGTGTAACACATTCGAGGATCGTATTCCTCACAGAGCTCTTACCATGGCCTTTATCGCGTCGGTCTATAGCGGAGACGATACCGCGGCTGATGGATTGATAGCCATACACTGCGTCGAGATTACTCTTATCTGCCAACTTGGCGGCAACGGATTCTCTATTTCCTCCTTGCACTTGCCAAATGGCTGACCCCTCTGGTCACGCAGCTCGGCTCCACGTTGTCCACGCAAATCCAAGGGCGTCTTTGGTGATTCAGTAGAGCTGCGTGACCACGCCTTTGGCTACTACTGAATCCGCGAAGAACCTTTGAGTCGACGTTAAAATACGAATCAGCTGGCACGAATTGATCTCCTTTGATCCGTTGTTCCTCCCGTAGGATTAATAGGATTGGTTGGAGGGTTTCCGCTCCCCCTCCCCCTGGCCATTCTCCGCGCCTTCCGCGATTTCCGCTGCCTGCGCTCCCCAGCGCTCGCTCCTTCACGCGCCGACCCCACTCTGCAGGACAAGGAATTCCTGTGCCAGGTGTTTCCGAGAAAGATGGACCTAATGACGTGACTTAACGCTCCTGCTTTCCCCTTCCCCCTTCCTCTCCGCGCCACTCTCCCTTCCCTTCCTTCCCTCCCTTTTCCCCCTTCCCCCCGCTCCGCCCCTCCCCCGCCCCCCCCCCCGCCGCAGGACGAGCAGTTCCAGGCGCTCCAGGAGAAGCTGGCGGAGGCGGACGCGCAGCTGCTGGCCGTCACCGCCAGATGCGGTGAGGGGGGGGAAGAGGGGGGGGAGGGAGGGAGTGGGGGGGTGCGAGGGTGCGGGTGCTAGCTGATGGACGCGCAGCTGCTGGCCGCACTGGAGGATACAACGATGAGGGGTGGGGAAGAGGGGAAGGGGGAGGAGGGAGGGGGGAGGGAGGGGAGGGGAGGGAGAGGGGGGGGGGGAGGAAGGGGTACTTGGAGTCGAAATTTCAACCTCCCTTTCTGTCTATTGCATTCACCTTTCATTACTACCACATACTCCGTTCTGTCCTGATCATTTCCATCGTCGCCCTTTGGACGTATTCTTGCGTCTCCTGTTGTGCTCCGTGCTCTCCCCACCTGCCACGTGGCGGCAGACGAGTGGAAGCGCAAGGCGCAGGAGAAGGCGCGGGAGGCAGTGCAGCTGGGCAACAAGGTGGAGGCGCTGGAGGAGCGGCTGGCGGAGCTGGACGAGGAGGACGTGCCCGCGCTGCAGGTGGGAGATTGAGGGGGGGGAAGGGGGGAGGGGGGGGGGGGAAGAAATGGAGGGAAAGGGGGGGAGGTGGGGGGGCGGGGGGCGGGAGGCTTGTGCGCTCGGTAAAGAATCAGAGGAGCTGGACGAGGGGGACATGCCCGTGCTGCAGGTGGGAGATTGGGGGAGGAGTGGGGGGGTTGGTGGGATTGGGGGCCGCAGAATTGAGGGGAGGGGGTGGGGGAAGGTAGGATGGGGGGAGGGGGTTGTATCCTGTAATCATGCGCATTGATGGGCGCCAGGGGAGCGGCTGGCGGAGCTGGACGAGGAGGACGTGCCCGCGCTGCAGGTGGGGGGGGGGGAGAAAGGGAGGGCTGTAAGCCACATGGCTTGCTTGCTCTGTAAATAAGCTAGTATGTCTTATTAAACGGCATTTCTTCTTAGTGCAGATGCAGGTGGCTCGGCTGCGGGAGGAGCTGGCGCGGTCAGAGGCCCCTGGCCCCTGGCCCCTGCATGTGTGTATTTCTTTTGAAATACTTCCTTCCCAACTGCTTGCCTCAGATGGAGGTGGCTCGGCTGCGGGAGGAGCTGGCGCGGTCAGAGGCTCTTCGCTTCGACCTGCACAGGCAGTTCCAGGCGCCCGACATGTCGCCCACGGCCTCGCGCCACCCCAGCGCTGGTACGAGGGGGAGGGGGAGGGGGAGGCGGCAATTAGGGTGAGGGGGGGAGGGAGGGGAGTGGGAGAGGTGACGAAAAAGGGGCTAAGAGTGGGTGGTCGTGGGTACGTGCATGCATGCGCATGTGTGTGCGTCCGTGCATGTGGGGTTATGGAGTTGTTGGGCTGTTGGGTTGTGGGGGTGCATTTCTTTGCACCGCCTTGAACTGCACAGGTAGTTTCAGGCGCCGGCCATGCCGCCCGCGTCCTCACACCATCCCGCCATCCCTCCATCCCTCCATCCCAGCACCATCCCATGTTTTTGAGAGTTCTTAACAACAGATGTCTTGCTGCCGTTTTTGAGTCAACTCAGAAGTCATAAACATCATGTGCCCATTCTCTCGCTCTCTCCCTCTCCCTCTCTTCGTCCTCTCACCTTGCAGTCACCAGGGGGCTGGATGATCTCTCCCTGGAGCGCATGTATGCTGTCTCGCCGCTCCCATCTCATGCCATCTTACCCCATCTCATGCCATCTTACCCCATCTCATGCCATCTTACCCCATCTCATGCCATCTCATGCCATCGCATGCCCTCTCCCCTCTGTCACCGGCCCTGCAGTCACCAGGGGCCCAGACGATTTCTCTTTGGAGCGCATGGACGAATCAGAGGCCGACAGCTGGATGCGGGAGCCGCCAGGGTGAGTGCTAGGGCTGGGATGGGATGGATGGCCGGCACTGGGAGGATGGGTGTTGGACGCTGCAGATCAGATTGTAATAATCATTGTGTTGAGCCAACACGGCGTTAACACGCACCGTCCAGCTCCTAAGCGTGCCGCTTCATAGAATGAATACGAGCTAACGTTGCTGCAGCAATGGTTGGAAAGGGGCTGAGAATCTGCACAACCCATTCTCGTGCTCCTCCCTTCCCTTCCCACTGTCTTCCTCCAGGGGCTCAGGCCGGGGAGCTGTGGACCTGAATCACCTGATGGCCATTGCCACTGAGGACGAGGAGGAGGACAGGGAGGCGCCTTATGACACCTCCCTTCTTTGTTCCACATCCCCTCTGTCCACTCTTCTTCTCCGCTTCCTCAACCCTACTGTTTCTCCAGGGGCTCGGGCCGGGGAGCTGTGGACCTGATGGCCATTGCCACTGAAGACGAGGAGGAGGATGAGGAGGAAGAGGGCGAGGAGGAAGCATCTTATACCACATCCCTCCTGTCCTCCCCATCCTTTCTCCCCTCTCTTCTACCTCAACCCAACTGTTTCTCCAGGGGCTCGGGCCGGGGAGCTGTGGACCTGATGGCCATTGCCACTGAGGACGAGGAGGAGGAGGATGAGGACGAGGAGGGCGCGCGAGGGAAGGGAGGAGTGGCAGGAGTTGCGGCTCTAGGGGAAGCGAACAAGGTGAGCGGCAGGACGTGCAGTGCAGCTGTAGGAGAGTTAGTTTTGGGACGGCTCAAAACTAACGTACTTAATCACGGAGTTGCATCTTTAGGAGAAGGGAACAAGGTGAGTGGGGGGGTGTGCAGTGCAGCTGTAGGTGAGTTGGTTCTGCAAGCGCCTTCTCTTGCATTGCCCCCCTTTCCGCTTCTCCTTTTCTACCTCTCCCCTTTCTCCCCCCCAATATTGCGATTCTGAAGATACACTTAATTATAAAGAACTGTAGGGGTCTCTTCCACTCCCTCTCCCCGCACTCGGTACGTTCCGTCCGCCCCTTGCACTGCACCCCCCACCTCCTTCAGTCTTCCCCCACCTTGTACCCCCAGCACCACGCCTTCGGCCTTCCCCCTCCCCAAGTCCTCTCCTCTCCCCTGTTCCCCTTCCTTGTCTCCCTTTCGTGACCCCCCCCCTTCCCACTCCCCCCCTCTTCGATCGTACCCCCAGCACCATGCCTTCAGCACGGGCCCCACCAGCAGTGACGGCGGGGACAGTGGCTTCGTGCAAACGCTCCTAGATATGGGCGAGGCCTCCTCCTACGTCTTCCGCTCCCCCGCACCTGAGTCAGCCCTGCAGCAGCAGAAGGAGCAAGACGGCCAAGGGGGGTCGAGACAGCAAGAGCAGCAGGGGGGGCAGGAGGGGCAGGGGGGGCAGGGGGAGCAGCAGCGGCAAGGGGTGGGGAAGGAGAAGGAGGAGGGTGATAGCAGGAGAAATTCGACGGGGAGTAATGTGTCGGGGGGGTATGCTTCTGCAATGGCTAAGTTAGTGGAGGAACTTCAGGAGTCAGAAGCGAGGAGGAAAGAGGTGGAGGGGGAATTGGAGAGAGTGAGGGAGGAGGTGGGGAGGATGGGGAGGGAGTTGGCGGAAGTGAGGGGGAGAGAGGGGAGGGAGGAGGAGTGGAAGGAGGAGCGGAAGGTGATGCAGGGGAAGATTCTGGAGGCTGAAGCTGCTCTGAGGGAAACTAATGTGAGAAGGGGGGATGGGGGATGGGGATTGGGGATGGGGATTGGGGATGGTTGATGGCGGATGGGGGATGGGGGATGGGGTTGGGGAATGGGGGTGAGTGTGGGTGTGGGGAATGGGGGAATGGGCATGGGGGATGGGGGATGGACGTGGGTGTGGGGAATGGGGAATAGCCGGATAGGGATGGGGATGGGGATGTGTGGGTGTGGTTGGGTTGGGGCCGGTATCTGAAGTACCTGTGTGAAATAGAGCACACTAGCGACATGCCTGGTTGGGAACGTGTGCACACCAGCAGCACACTAGTATCATTCCAACCTCCGTTCCCTGCTGGCCCCCTGCTCCTTCCCCCCTCTCATCTCCTCTTGGACAACTTTTTCTGTACAGGCTGCACGGTCGGAGCAGGAGGAGCAGAGCGGGTGCGGGTGCTGGAGGTGCGGTTGAGAGCAGCAGATGAGACCCCACTTGAACCCTAATCCGCTGCTTCTCTTGACCCTCTTCCCTGCTATGCTTGACCGTTTTTCTTACACAGGCGATGAAAGTGGAGCAGGAGGAGCGGGTGCGCGTGCTGGAGGTGAGGCTGAGGGCAGCAGAGAAGAATGCAAATCAACTGTACTGCTTCCGTGTCTGCGCTCGTCTCCCTGTTTCCCTTGAGCAGGCTGCAAGGGCGGAGCAGGAAGAGCGGGTGCGGGTGCTGGAGGTGCGGCTGAGGGCAGCAGAGGAGGACGGGCATGTGCTTAAGAGCGCGATGCAGGAGATGAGCGCCGGCACGCACGGAGAGAGCCAGACGCTCAGCATCCTGCAGGGGCAGGTCTCTGCGTTGCAGGTAATGGTAGCGAGTTTCACGCGTGTGTTCTTGAGAGCCTGGTAGTTGCACGTGCTCAAGAGCGCGATGCAGGAGATGAGTGCCGGCACGCACGGGGAGAGCCAGACGTTCTTTATGCTGCAGGGGCAGGTCGCGGCTCACCAGATAAGGATAGCACTGTTCACCTGTGTGCTCCTGTGACCTTGGTAGTTGCGTGCATGTGCTCAAGAGTGCGATGCAGGAGATGAGTGCAGGCACGCACGGGGAGAGCCAGACACTGTCCACTTACAGGGGCAGGTTGCGGCTCTGCAGACTGCAGGTAATGGCACTTGAGCAGGTACCCTGGGGCCTTGGTATTCTATGCCTAAAGGAGTGCGAGGTGCAGCTGAGAGCAGCAGACCCAGACCCAGCTGGTGCAGCAGAGGAAGCTGAGGAGCTGACTTAGGAGCTGACTTAGGAGCTGACTGTGGAGCTGCGGTTTCAGCTGATGGAGCAGGTGCACGCGGAGAGGGGCCCTTCCAACCTCCCTCCCAATCTACCACCACCCCTAATGCCGTCCTTCTTTCCGCCCTCTCTCTCCCCTCTTTCCGCCCTCTCTCTCCCCTCTTTCCGGCCTTTCCTCCCTCTCCCCCTCCCTCCGCCCTTCCCTCCCTTTCCCCCTTCTCCTCTCCCCCCCAGAACCCAGCTGGTGCGGGAGGGAGCGGGCGGCGGAGGAAGCTGAGGAGCTGACTCAGGAGATGGCGGAGCTGCGGTTCCAGCTAATGGAGCAGGCGCACGCGGAGAGAGAGTGAGGGCTCCTCCTCACCTCTCTCCCGCCCTCCTAACTGTTGACAACATCCCTCCCTCTCCCCCTCCCTCTCCCCCTCCCTCTCCCCCTCCCTCTCCCCACCACCTCCTTGCTCCCCTCCCCCCAGACCCAGCTGGTGAGGGAGAGGGAGAGAGCAGCGGAAGAGGCGGAGGAGCTGACTCAGGAGATGGCGGAGCTGCGGTTCCAGCTGATGGAGCAGGTGGACGCGGAGAGGGGGCTTCGTGCCGAGACAGAGGCGGCTTCCCTGCGACGCGTGCAGGAGCTGGAAGCCATGGTGAGCTTGCGTGTTGGGGGGGGTTGGGCCCGCCTTGTGTTGTTACGTTTCCAGCTGATGGAGCAGGTGGACGCGGAGAGGGGCCTGCGCGCCGAGACAGAGGCGGCTTCCCTGCGATGCGTGCAGGAGCTGGAAGCCATGGTGAGCTTGCGTGTTGGGGGGGGTTGGGCCAGCCTTGTGTTGTTACGTTTCCAGCTGATGGAGCAGGCGGACGCGGAGAGGGGCCTGCGGGCCAAGACAGAGGCGGCTTCGCTGCGACGCGTGCAGGAGCTGGAAGCCATGGTGGGTGGTGTGTGCTGGTGCGTGTGAAGGAGCAGGGGAGCAATGTGTGTTGGTGAGTGTCGCGGGGCTGGAGTAATGGTGGGTGGTGTGTATCAGTGAGTGCATGCGCAGGAGAGGGGAGGCTGAGGGCGGGAGGGGGGAGGAGGGGAAAGAGGAGGGGAGAGGGGGAGACGGGTGGGAGAGAAATTGGGGGAGGGCATGCAGGGAGAGCGACGTGTAAGAGGCTGAGATCAATCTGACGTGCTTTCGGTCTGCCTCGACCCTCCACCTCTCCGCCCCTCTCAACTGTCCTCTCGGTGTCTGTCTTTCCACTCTTTTTCTTCTCTTCTCAGGCTCTAGCAGGCAACGATGTGAAGTTACAGGCAATGGCGGCTAAGGCAGACGCGGAGAGGAAGATAGAGGCGAAGGAGCTGGCTCTTGTCCCTCTGATGCCCCCCCCCCCCCCCCCCTTACATGTTCATGCGCCTTCCCTCTCCAATGCTCTTTCCAACAGGCTCTAGCCGCCAATGACGCCAAGCTTCAGGCAATGGCTGCTAAGGCAGACGCAGAGAGGAAGATAGAGGCGAAGGAGCTGGCTCTTATGCAGAGAATCGAAGCAGCTGACAAGAGGGATAAGAAGGTGGGGGAGATGGAGAGGGCAATGGAGGAGAAGAGGAAGGAGGTGGAGGAGAAGGGGAGGGAGGCTGAGGAGGAGAGGAGGAGAGCGGAGAAGGAACGGGCTGAGGGGGAGGAGAGAGTGAGGGAGATGGAGGGGAGAGTGAGGGAGGCGGAAGGGAGAGTGAAGGATGCGGAAGGGGGTGTGCGGGACGCAGAGGGGCGTAGGGAGGCGGCAGAGAAGCAAGCTGCTAGGATGGAAGAGCAAGTGAGGGAGTGGGAGGAGAGAGTGAAGGGGTTGGAGAGAGAGAAGAAAGAGGCGGAAGGGGCTTTGGATGAGGCGGAGGACAGAGCAGCGGATATAGAGGGGCAGTTCCTGGTGATGCAGAGTAGAGTGAGAGATTTGGAAGGGAAGCTGAGGCAGCAGAGTGCTGAGGCAGAGGCAGCTTGTGAGGAATTGAGGGAGGAGTTGAGGAGGAGGGAGGAGGAAGGGGAGGGGGTGAGGAAGGGGAGGGATGAGGCGAGGAGGAGATTGGGGGAGTTGGAGAGGGGGTGGAGGAGGGGAGGAGGAAGGCGGAGGAGTGGGAGAGGAGAGTGAGGGAGAAGGAGGGGAGGATCCAGGAGTTGGAGTCGGAGGTTATGAGGGGTAGGAGGAGGTTGGAAGAGATGGAGTTGGAAACTAAGGGAGTGAAGGAGGTGGGGGAGAGTGCGAAGAGGAGGTGGGAGGAGAGTGCGGCAGAGATACAGAGGAAGGAGAGGGAGAGGGAGGAGGAGGCGAGGAGAGTGAGGGAGTTGGAGGAGAGAGTGAGGGAGGGGGAAGAGAGAGTGAGGGAGATGGGAGAAAGGGTGAGAGAAGGGGAGGAGAGGGTGAGGGAAATGCAAGAAAAGGTGAGGGAGGGGGAGGAGAGAGTGAGTGAGTTGGAAGGGAAGCTTAGAGAAGCTAATGAGAATGCAGTAGAAGCAGAGGCGAAGGTGGCTAAAGCAGAGGAGAGGGAAGCAGAGAGTAAAAAGGCATTGGAGGAGATGGAAAAAGAGGTCGCGAGAGTGAGGGAACTAGAGGAGGAGGCAAGGAAGTGGGTCCAGGAGGTAGAGGGGGAATGCAAGAGGCGTACAGAGGAGGTGGAAGAGGAGATGAGGAGGAAAGTGGAAGAGCTAGAGGGGAAGCTTAAGGAGAGTGGGAGTGTGGCAGGGAGTGTTGAGGAGAAGAATCAGAGAGTGGTGGAGTTAGAGAAGGAGATAGAAGAGGCGGAGAAATTGGTTAAGGACTTGGAAGAGGCTGTGGATGAAGGGAAGGTCAAGGTGAAGGCGTTGGAGGGGCAGGTTGAGGAGAGAGAGAGAGTGATAAAGGAGCTTGAGAGAGGGGTGGAGGATGGGATGAGGAAGATAGTGCGACAGGTGGAGGAGAGAGAGAGGATGATGGACGAGATAAAGAAGAAGTTAGAGGAGAGGGATAGGGTGATAGGGGATTTGCAACGGGTGGTTGAGGAGAGGGAAAGAGAGTTGGATTTACAGAGGAATCAGAAGTTACCGGAGTTGGTGGCTGAGTGGAAAGAGAGAGTGAGGGAGGCGGAGGAGAGGGTGGAGGGGGAGAAGGACCGGGCCAAAGCTGCCGAAGCTGAGGCGAAGGCTCGGTGGGAGGAGGAACGGCGGTCGTGGAAGAGGAGAGTGGAGGAGGCGGAGAAGCACTTGCTGGAGGCTCGGGAGGAGGTTCGGGTGGCGCAGCAGGAGGTTCGGGAGAAGGTCGGGGAGCTGGAGGAAGTTACCAGGAAGCTTGCGGAGGAGGTTCGGCAGAAAGTGGAAAGAGAGAAGAAGGTTATTGAATTGGAAAAGAGGGTGGATGAGAAAGCGAAAAAGGTTGGGGAGATGGAGGGGAAATATTTAAGCAAAGTGGATGAGTTGAAAGCGCAGGAGGAACAGTGGAGGGGCGTAGAGGGGGGGCTTAAAACGAGGATAGGAGTGCTTGAGGGGGAAGTGGGGGAGATGAGGAGGAGAGTGGAGGAGGAGGAGGGGAAGAGGGGGGAGGCTGAGGGGAGGATTGCGGATCTGGAGGAGAGGAGGAAGGAGCTTGAGAGGAGAGAGGAGGGGTTGAGAGAGAGAGTGAGGGAGGTGGAAAAGGAGGTCGAGGGAGTAAAGGGAGTGAGGGATAGTTTGCAGAAGCAGCTTCAGGAGGCGGAAGAGAGAGAGGGGGCGAGTGAGAAGCGAGTGTGCGGCTTAATTGAGAAACTAGAGGTTAAGGAAGGGGTGCTAATGGGTTTGAGGGAGACGTTGGAGGAGAAGAGGAGGGAGATTGAGGAGAGGAGGAGGGAGGTGGAGGGAGTGAGGGAGGAGGTGAGGCGAGTGAGGGGGGAGAGGGAGGAGGAGGAGAAGGGGAGGGTGAAGGCAGAGGGGGAGAGGGAGGAAGTGAGGAAGAAGCTTCAGAGTGTGGAAGGGGACCTTCAAGCAACCAGAGCTAAGGTATGTCCTTGAATGCTGGGGGGATTGGGCGGGGCTGGGCTGGGGGGATTGGGCGGGCCTGGGCTGGGGGGAATGGGCGGGCCTGGGGGATTGAACTGGGCTGCGGGGATTGGGAAAAACTTGGGGGTTGGACAGGGCTGGGGGGATTGGGCGGGGCTGGGGTGGGGCGATTGGGCAAGGGGGGGGGGGGATTGGGCGGGGCTGGGGAGGGGAAAGGACGCCTTTTGAGTCACTTTCAAGCTCCGCAACTGTTATGTTCTTCTCCTCCTCTCCCATCTCACCCCTCCTTTCCACCCTTCCGGTACGACATCTCCAGAAGGGGTCTATTTTTTACAGGCGACCCTTCCAAAAATAGACTCTTCCGAAAATAGACTCTTCTGGTGCGATATCTCCAGAAGGGAGGGACTGAGTGCAGTGAGTTCCGTCCACGGTCCATGAGCTAGCTCTCAGCAGAGAGGGACTGCCTGGAGTGCCAGTGTGAAGCTCGACACACCTGCCTTTCTTCCCCCTGTCGCCCACCTTAGCCCCGTCTCTCCCTCCTTGCTTTCTCCCCCTACTCGCCCCGGTCCCCTGTAGCCTGTAGGTCCATGAGCTCTCAGCGGAGAGGGACTGCCTGTAGAGGGGGGGTGGGAACGTGCAGAGGAGCCTGCATGCACAATGCTGTGGCTGCCAGTGCCAAGCCGTCACTCATGGAGGGAGTGACCGCCTTTCTTTCCCCCTTCTCCCTCATTCCCCCTTGTCCCTCCATCCCCCGTTCTCGCTCCTGTTCTGCTATTCTCTCTCTCCCCCATTCTCTCCCCTACTCGCCTTACTCGCCCTGGCTTCCTTAGGTCCGTGAGCTGTCAGCGAAGAGGGACCGGCTGGAGAGGGAAGGGGAGGACTTGAGGCGAAGACTGCATACGCTGTGGCTGCCAGTGCCCAGCTCCACCCATCTTCTCACTGCCACCCCTCTCCCCCACTTCCCTCCTTCTCTCCCCTTCCATCCCACCCCTGTCCCTTTCCCATAGGTCCGCGACCTGTCAGCAGCGAGGGATCGGCTGGAGAGGGAGGGGGAGGACGTGAGGCGAAGCCTGCACGACGCAGTGGCTGCCAGTGCGAAGCTGGCTGCAGCTCTGGATAAGACGGAGGGCAAACTGGTGGCGCTGGAGGAGAGGAGTGCGGAGGTGAGATGGGTGGGTGCTGTGTGGTGTAAGATTGGGTTGAAAGGGGAGGTGGTGTTAAGTGACTCAGAGCACGACGCTGTGGCTGCCAGTGCAAAGCTGGCTGATGCTCTGGATAAGACGGAGGGCAGCCTGGTGGCGCTGGAGGAGAGGAGTGCAGAGGTGAGATTATTGCTGTCACTTGTGAGGTAGTGGGGTGGGAGGGAGGTAGTCATGGGCCGTAAGGGGCGTGAGGGACTGAGATGCTATGGCTGCTCGAGCAGCAGTGGATAAGGCAGAGGGCGAACTGGTGGCGCTGGATGAGCGGAGTGCAGAGGTGAGAAGGAATGGGTGGACGAGGGTGTGAGGGCGAGGGAAGAGGCTATTCAGCCTACTTGTTCGCACTTCCTCGCCCTCCTGCTGTGGGCCCTGAGGCCCTCCTGTCATGGGCCTTCCTGCCGTGGAGCTTTTGCATGTTTTGAGACGTCTTTCTTAAAGCCCAACGCCGTTGGAGCTGAAGCCTGCCGCGGGCCCTCCTGTCGTGGGGCTTTTGCTTGGTGGGGCCGCTGACTTGCAAATTGCTGACGCTGGGAGACAGGAGTGCTGACGGGATAAGCATAGGGACAGGGGCATGCAGAGTGAACCGTGAACGTGAGGAGAATGTGGGGGGGGGAGTGGGGGAGACAGGAGAGGCAGAGGGGAAAAAGACCTAGGGGGCAGGAAACGGGGGAAGGGGAAGGGGGGGTGGGGGGAAGGGGTGAGGATTGTGGAGAGCTGGTGCTTTAAAGCCTTAGGTGTTTGATGAGCGAAGGTGCACTGATGCGCCGGACATGGGTGGTGCCCCATGCCAGGGTTTGACCTGGGTGGTGCACCATGCCAGGGTTTGACCTGGGTGGTGCACCATGTCAGGTTTCGATGTTTGAGCCATGTTGTGGGGCTGTTGCATGGTGGGTTCTCTTCTCTGTTGGTGGGTTCTTGTGCTCAAGCATGCTGGTCCTCTTGCCCCCTCGTCTTTTCTGTGTGTTGGGGGGGAATGGGAGGGGGGCTGGATGGGGTCGATGGCTCGGCGTGCGGCTGTGCATGGACCATGGCTACTGCTGTTGCTGTGTGCGGCTTTGTGTCGGGCATGGGTGCTGTTTCTGTGTGCGGCTGTGGTATGCTGCTCTTTCGTGCTGCTGTCTCTGTCTGTTGGTTCCAGGAGAGGAAGCAGATGGAAGCCTCGCACAAGGAGCAAGTTGAGAAGCTTCAAGAGCAGCTGCAGGTACAGTTGCTTGCTTTTCCACTCCCTCCCCTCCCCTCCCCTCATATCAAACAATTCGCTTTTGAACTCCTTTCCGCCCCCTCTCAATGGCTCAAAAGGACCCCTTCCGTTCCAATTCTCTCTTCCCATTTCTCCTCTATTCCCTCCAAAAGAATCGAATCAGGCTGTTGCCCTCATCCTCCCTGCTCCCTCCCCCCCCCCCCAACCACCTCCTCGCCTCTCCCTCACTCACGTCTCCCCGTCCTCCCAGCAGGCGCTAGAGAGTGCGTCCAGGCGGCACCAGGAGGCAGCGGGCGAGCTGAGGCTCATTCACTCTCAATCTCTCACGGCTATAACCCCACCCTCCTCCTCCTTGATCTCGTATCCATCTTTCCTCCTTCCACTCCCAGTCCTCCCAGAAGGCACTCGAGAGCACGTCCAGGAGCGCCAGGAGCACCAGGAGCACCAGGAGCACCAGGAGGCGGCGGGCGGACTGAGGGCCTCGCACTCCCACCACCCTAATCCCACCCCCCACCTCCTTTTCCCGCGTATACATCTTTCCTCCTTCCACTCCCAGTCCTCTCTGCCGCTGGCGAGTTGAGGGCTGTTCTTTTGAGTCGACTCAAAAGTCACCTCGCTGGCGAGTTGAGGGCCGTTCTCTCCCACCCATCACCCGAACCGAAAAACCTTAAACCCTCTCCTCTAACCCTTGGCTCTGTATCCCCTTCCCCCGCATCTCTCACTCCCTCTCCCTCTCTCTTCTCCAGGCGTCCCAAGCAGCAGCAGAGAGCGCGTCCAGGCGGCACCAGGAGGCGGCGGGCGAGCTGAGGGGAGCGCTGAAGGAGCTCGATCGGCTGGAGGGGCTGCTGGGCAGCACTCAGGGGATGCTGGCAGAGACTAGGGGGCTGCTGGGGGAGACTGAGAGACGGTTGGAGGAGACTAAGGGGCGGCTGGGGGAGACGGAGAAGCAGTTGGAAGAGACGAAGGAGCAGTTGGAGGGGACGCAGGGGATGCTGGAGGAGACTGAGGGGGAGCTGACCCGGACAGAGGATGAGTTGAAGGTGCGTGCATGCAGGCTTGTCTTTGTGCTTATGAGAGAGAGGGGGGGAAAGCAGGGTTTTGGGAGCGGACGAAGGACATGCTGGAGGAGACCAAAGGGGAGCTGGCACGCACCGAGGAAGAGTTGAAGGTGTGTGCAGGGTTGTGTGTGTGTGTAGGAGAGAGGGGAGGAAGAGCAAGGGTTTTTCTTTATCCTCCTCCACTTTCCCCCATCTGTTCCCCCCTCCCCTTTCCCCCATGTGTTCCGCCTTCCCACGACCCTCCTCTCCCCCATCCCTAGGTTTTAGCCCAGTTTGCTCTCAGCCGCTAGTCTCATCACCCTTCCTCCCCCCACCCCTCCTCCCCCCCTCCCCCCTTGCAAACTCATAAACCCCCCCCCCCTTGACCCTCTCAAACCAGACAACCAATGAGAGCCTGGCAACTGTCAGGGAAGAGAAGCAGCAGGTGGAAGCCAGGCTGGCAGATACAGAGAGGCGGAGGCAGGAACTTTCAGAGAAGGTTCGCATGCTGGAGCATGACCTGGCGGAGCGGCGCGCTGAGCTGGTGCTGGCGAATCAGGAGCTGGCGGTGCGGGCGGGGCAGATTGCAGAGCTGACGTCACAGCTGAATATTGCCACTATTGCAGTGAAGGTACGTTGGCCGATTCTGGCTTGTTAATTGTGCTTGGTGCTAACATGACAGTGGAGGAGGAGGAGCAGTTGTAAGCCCCTGTTATGGCTTTTCGCTCTCTTGTTGTGATTTTATCTTGACTCTCCCGCCTCACCTCTCCCTGCTTCCCCTCCCTTCTTGCTCTTTACCAGGAGGGTCGGGAACGCATCCGCTTGCTGGAGGTGGTGCTGACAGTGAGGGAGGGCGAGCTGAAGCACTGCCTCTTTCATCCTCGCTTACACACCTCCTTGCCCCCCCCACTTCTTCCCTTCTTTCGCTTCCTCTTTCCCCTCTGCGCCCTAAACCTTCACGCCCAAACAACAGGAGGGCCGGGACCGCATCCGCATGCTGGAGGTGGTGCTGACAGTGAAGGAGGACGAGCTGAAGAAGCTGGAGCAGCAGAGCATTGAGGCGAACGAGCAGGCCAAGATGCTGATCGCTGCCAGAGAGGCCCAGGTATGACTTGACTTTACGTGGAAGGGGGGTGAGGAGGGGTATGGTCGGGGGGTATGGGATGGGTCGGGGGGTATGGGATGGGTCGGGGGGTATGGGATGGATCGGAGGGTATGGGATGGGTGGGGGGGTATGGGATGGGTGGGGGGGTATGGGATGGGTCGGGGGGGGATGGGATGGGTCGGGGGGATGGGATGGGTCAGGGGGGATGGGATGGGTCGGGGGGTATGGGATGGGTGGGGGGGTATGGGATTGGTCGGGGGGTATGGGATGGGTGGGGGGGTATGGGATTGGTCAGGGGGATGGGATGGGTGGGGGGGTGTGGGATTGGTCGGGGGGTATGGGATGGGTGGGGGGTATAGGATTGGTCGGGGGGTATGGGATGGGTGGGGGGGTATAGGATTGGTCGGGGGGTATGGGATGGGTGGGGGGGTATGGGATTGGTCAGGGGGTATGGGATGGGTGTGGGGGTATGGGATTGGTCGGGGGGTATGGAATGGGTGGGGGGTATGGGATTGGTTGGGGGGTATGGGATGGGTGGGGGGGTATGGGATTGGTCGGGGGGTATGGGATTGGTCGGGGTATGGGATTGGTCGGGGGTATGGGATTGGTCGGGGGTATGGGATTGGTCGGGGGGTATGGGATTGGTCGGGGGGTATGGGTGCAAGGGGTGCAAGGGTGTGCAAGGGGGGGGGGGCTGTCTGCTGAAGAAGCTGGAGAAGCAGAGGAGGCGGGCGAGCAGGCCAAGATGCTGATCGCTGCGAGGGACAACCAGGTGGGTTGTTTGTGTGTGGAGGGAAATGGGTAGAAGAGAGGGGTGCGATGTTTAAAGGAGGAGCGGGCCAAGATGGCGATTGCTGAAAGGGACAACCATTTAGGTCTTTGATTGACTTAGGGGCCGCCGGTAGGTAGGCAGTCAGGAGTTGGGGTACGGGGAGGGAGTTGGGTGGAGCAGGAGTAAGGAATTGGGGGGGTATGGTGATGGAATCAGGAGTTCCTTGTGTGTGGATGGGGATGGGGAAGTCACCTCTCGCATATCCCCATCCCCTCCCGCACTCTCATTCCCCCATCATCTCCCCTCCCTCCCATCCGCTTCCCTTCCTTCGTCTCTTTCTGCACCACTTCCCATCCTCGCAGCAGTGCCATTACACGCAGAGACTGCCACGCTGCACATCCCCTCCCTTTTGAGTCGACTCAAATGCACCGCTTCCCATCCCCATAGTGCCATTACACGCAGAGTCTACCAAGCTCCCCACCCCTCCCCTCTCTCTCAGTCCCCAACCCCTCCTCCTGTCCCCCCATCCCCCCATCCCCTCATCCCTCCATCCTTTCAAATCGCTCAGCTTGCAGCGTCACTACAAGCAGAGACTGCCAACCAACCTCCCCAACCCCTCCCCTTTCTCACTCCCCATTCCTTCCTGCTCCTTTCCCCCCATCCCCTCACCCCCCCAACCCCCCATCCCCTCATCCCCCCATCCCCCTATCCCCCCAACCCCCCAACCCCCCATCCCCCAACCCCCCATCCCCCCAACCCCCATCCCCCAACCCCCCATCCCCCCCTCTCCCCGTCCTCTCATCCCATCAGATCGCTCAGCTCGCAGCGTCACTACGAGCAGAGACCGCCAACCTAGAGGAGGCCACAAGCAGGTGAGCACCGCTTGGCATCACTTTGCACCGCATAACACAGCTTTACGTCGCGTTACACCTTTTTACACCACCCTACACCCTACTCCTCCACACTGCTAGGCTGTTGCTGGAAGTGGCGTTGCTAGAGGTGCAGGGGCAGGTGGAGGCGATGGAGTGGGAGAGGGACGACACTCGCCCTACCCTCTTAACCTCCCCCCCTCCCCCCCCCCCTCTCCCACTGCCCCTGCCCCCTGTTTCTTGTTCCTTTCAGGATCGAGGGCCTAGAGGGCGAAAAGCAGCTGCTGGAAGTGGCGTTGCTAGAGGCGTAGGGGCAGATGGAGGCGATGGAGAGGGAGAGAGACGACTTGAGAGAGGCAGAAACCACCCTCACACTTCTCCCCTCATCCCTTCCTGCTCTCCCTGCTCTCTCCTCTTGTTGCTCAGTTTCAAGGGCCTGGAAGGCGAGAAGCAGCTGCAGGAAGTGGCGTTGCTAGAGGCACAGGGGCAGGTGGAGGCGATGGAGAGGGAGAGAGAGATGATACCTACCCTCACACTTCTCCTTTCCTCCATTCCCCTCCTCCCCTCTCTTCTTCTTGTCCAGAATCGAGGGCCTGGAAGGAGAAAAGCAGCTGCTGGAAGTGGCGCTACTAGAGGCACAGGGGCAGGTGGAGGCGACGGAGAGGGAGAGAGACGACGCGCGTGCAGACGCTGCTAAGAGGAGGGCGGGTTGGGCGATTCCCACCCCGGGCCCGAACAACCTCAAGCCATCTGCCATCAAGGCGCGACAGAAGCCATGAGATACCTACCGGTATCTGGCAGCAGCAAATAGATGGGAGTTTTTGAGTCGACTCAAAAATCAAGGCGCGGCAGAAGCCGCGAGATACCGGTATCTGGCAGCAGCGAGTAGATGGGATGGGAGTTGGCGGTTGTTGGGAGTGCGCGACAGAAGCCACGAGATGTTATTATAAATATTAAGGGTTGGACTGGATGGAGTGGGTGGGTCTGCATGATGCGGTATAGCCACCCACCCACCCCACCCAAGCACGACGGGGACGAGGAGCGAGATTGGCTGCCCCCACCCGGGGGACAAATACGGTAGCATCAAGCCGTGTCCCTTTGCCAGAGCTACAGTGTCGAGTTGAGGCATTTGATGGAGTGAGGCTGATGTGAGTGAGTTGAAGTGAGATTACGGTACTATTGCTGTTCAAGTTGGAGTGAGCCACCGAAAGAACAGCACATATGCAGGTTTATTATTATCAACGCATAAAGCATGCTACAAATGGGATCAGTACCATGTGTACATGCACACAAAATCTAAGTAACCCAACCCCCTCTATTCTAATCAGCTGGACCAGCGGTGACTAGATTAGGTCAAGCTGTCTTGGCCTGGGATGGCTGCAGTAGTGGCGGCAGCAGCAGCAGCAGCAGGGCAAGGGGGCAATGAGGGGGCAAGCAAGCAGCTGGCCCAGTCACTGCGGGCAGAGCAGACAGGTCAAGATGCGTTGGCCTAGGGACCTGCCTTACTCCCGGCAAAGTAAGCAATGGATAAGAGAAACCCAAACCACACCTTACTCTTTACTTCTCTACCTCAAGCTTTACCAGGTCAAGTTTCCTTGGACTCTTGTAAAGCCATAGCAGCAGCATCACCTGTCAAAAGGTCCACCTCCCCTCCCCCCCCTTCCCCCAATAGAAATGAAACAAAAAGCTTTACCCTCGCTTGTCTACCTCGAGCTTTATCAGGTCAAGTTTCCTTGGCCTCTTGTAAAGCCTCAGCAAGAGGGAGGAGCAGACGACACTCACTGAAGACAGAGCCATAGCAGCACCTGCAACCCACGGGGGGAGGCGCAGCCGCAGGGCAGTTGGGAAGAGTACCCCCGCTGCAATGGGGATACCCGTGATGTTATACCCGAACGCCCAGACGTAGTTCAATCTGATCCGTCGAAGCGCGGTCCTCGCGAGATCAACGGCTGTCGCGACGTCTTCGAGAGACGACCGCATAAGGACAATATCCGCCGCCTCGATCGCAATATCCGTCCCCGCCCCGATGGCGATTCCCACATCAGCAGCAACAAGAGCAGGAGAGTCATTCACCCCGTCTCCCACCATTGCCACCTGCTTCCCCTCCCCCTGAACCCTCTTCACAAACGAGGCCTTATCCCCTGGTAAAGCCTCAGCAACTACATCCTCCCCTTCGATCCCCACTGCTCTCCCCACCGCCCTCGCCGCGCCCCAGTTATCTCCTGTCACCATCACTGCACGCATACCCATGCCTTGGATTATCCCCACCACGGCTGCTGCTTCGGGTTTGACTGGGTCAGAGACAGAGACACCCCCAATGATGTGGCCGTCTAGGGCGATCAGAACGTCGGTCTCTGCCCCTGCTTCGGTTTCTTCCAGCCATTCGAGCACGCCCCGGGGGAGAGGAGGGAGGGAAGAGGGGTCTGTGGTGGTGCTGGTGGTGGAGGTGACCGTGGTGGTAGTGGTGCTGCTGGTGCTGGCGGTGGTACCAGTAGTGGTGGTGTTGTCTGGCCTGCTTTCTGTGCCGCATGTGGTATTTGCCTGTGAGCCGTTCTCCCCTTGACCCGAGGCCGGTCCGTTGCACATAACGACAGTGCTCGTCCTCATGAGCTTTAGGTTCCCCACTGCCACGTGGCGCCCGTTGATTCGACACACCACGCCGTGCCCTGCGATCGCCTCAAATTCCTCCGCAGGGGGGAGAGTGTGCAGAAGCTTCTTGGAAGGAGCGGGGTCGTGGGAAGCGATGGTATTGGTGGTGGCAGTGGCAGGAGGGTGATCGGGTGTGGATGATAGAGTGGAGTTGGGGGATGGATGGGAGACGACGGATCGATGGGGGGAAGGGTGAAGGGAGGTGGATGAAGGGATGGAGAACGGTGAGTAGTGGTGGAGGAACAAGGAGGAAGGGAAGGGGGACGAGGAGTGGGGGAGAGGGGAGGCAGAGGAGGAAAGGGGGAGAGTGGAGGGAAGAGTAGACGGAAGAGTGGGAGGAGTGTGGGAGGAGGGCAGGGAGGAGGGCAGGGAGGAGGAGGGTGGGGAGGAGGGGAGGGGGATGTGGGAGAGGTTGGGGAAGGTCTTGGGCATGTGGGGGGAGGAGAGGCAGTAGTCCACTATGGCCTTGGCTAGAGGGTGCTCGCTGCTCACCTGGACAAGGGGCAGTGGGGCAGGGGAGGGAGGAGGGGGGGCGGGGGATGGGGGGAAGGAACGGAGCAAATGTTAGGGTGAAAGTGGGTGGTTGAGATTTCCCATAAGGGGTCTTCGGCGTGTGGGGGGAGGAGAGGCAGCAATCCCGTTTAATCAATTCCCAGAAAAAGCTCAGCCACCTAGTGTGCATGCCCCCTTCCTCCCCCCCCCCCCTTCCCCCCTTCACTCTCCGCCCTCCCTGTCACACCAGCCCCTTATCCCTGGTACAAGCTGAACCCCTCTCCTCCTTACCTCAGCAGCACCTATCGAGGAGCTCGGACTGGGAGGCCCAGGAGGAGACGACCGTGCAGGAAGTCACGCTGGGCCTACCCATTCCCACCCCTCCCCATCTCACCAAACCCATATCAGCCCCTAACAGAAGGTGAACCATCCTCGTGCATACCTCAGCAGCAGCCAGGATGGCGAGAAGCTCTAACTGGGAGACCAGGGAGGAGAAGAGCGTGCAGGAGATAACACCGAACACACCCATTCAGCCCACTACGTTTCACCTTCTCCTGTTCTAGTCAACAGAGGCAGGACCCCTCGTGCCTGTGCGTATTTCAGCAGCAGCGAGGATGGCGAGGAGCTCGGACTGGGAGACGCGGGAGGAGAAGAGCGAGCAGGAGGTATGGGCTTACCTGTCTTCCCTACACCCCACGTTTACCTTCCCCTGATACGCCCACCTTCTATCAGACGACTGCCCCCCATTCCGTACCTCAGCAGCAGCGAGGATGGCGAGTAGCTCGGACTGGGAGACGCGGGAGGAGAAGAGCGAGCAGGAGGTGACGCTGGGCCGGCCTTGGGTGAGCGTGCCTGTCTTGTCAAAGACCACTGTCTCGATCTGAGAGCAAGAATTGTGGAGGGGAGAGAGAGAGAGAGATCGGGGGGGGAGAGGAGAGGGAGGGAGAGACTTGGGGGAGGAGTATGAGAAGCAGAGAGGCGAGGAGAGCAGCGAAGGGACGCTGGGGATACAGGGGAGATGGACGGACAGATGGATGGTTGGATGGATGGGTTTGGCTTGGCTATGATACCAGCCCTTGTGTGCTGAGGTTACCGCGCTCACTTTATGTGCTCTCTCCAGTGCGTCGGCCCCTTTGATGAGGATTCCTTGCTGCGCGCCGATCCCAGTCGCCACCATCACAGCAGTGGGGGTAGCGAGCCCGAGCGCGCAGGGGCACGCTATAACGAGTACGGAGATCCCGAACTGCAGGGCGAGCTCGAAGAGGGTCATCCCCTGGGGCAGCCAGGAGGAGGGGAAGGCGCCCACGTAGCCGGTGACCAGCCACAGCACGAAGGTTATGAGGGCGATGAGGACCACCTGTTTAAAAAGGGGAGGAAGGGGAGGGAAGAGAGGGGAGAGGAGGGGAAGAGAGGGGAGAGGAGGGGACAAGGGAAGAGAGGGATGAGGGGAGAGGGGTGAGGGGGATGTGGGGGCGAGCTCGAAGAGGGTCATCCCCTGGGGCAGCCAGGAGGAGGGGAAGACGCCCAGGCAGCCGGTGACCAGCCACAGCACGAAAGTTAAGAGAGCGATAACAACGACCTGTTGGGGGCCGGTGGGGAGGATGGGGAGGGGGCAACCTGTTTGCCAGAGCTTTGGCCATCTGAGCCGCCTCCACAAGCTGCCTGATCTGCACAAGGGCCGTCTCCCCACCCACCCTGCTAAGCGCACAACCATCAGTACACCACAGCACCACAGCACCACTCACCGTTGGAACGAAAATAGCTGAAATTCTATCAGCAACCCTCTGAATGGGAGCTTTGGCCATCTGAGCCGCCTCCACCAGCTGCACGATCTGTGCGAGGGCCGTCTCCCCGCCCACCCTGGTGGCGCGCACGTGGATGCTGCCCCCCAGGTTGAGCGTTCCGCCTATCACGTCCGAACCGGCTTCCTTCAGCACTGGGCGGGACTCCCCAGTGATCATGCTCTCGTTCAAATAACTGCAAGGAGGGGAGGGGGGAGTTGTGGGTAAGGGGAACGGGAAGGGGGAAGGGGGGAGGGAAAGGGAACAGGAAGAGGAGGAGGTGGAGTGTTGCTGAGTTGCTTTGCACTACTAGAAGCGCAGCACGCCTTGGTGGCGGGCGGGCACGTGGATGCTGCCTCCCAGGTGACTTTTGAGTCGACTCAAAAGTGGCCGGCACGTGGATGCTGCCTCCTGGGTTGAGCGTGCCGCCTATCACGTCGGAACCAGCTTCCTTCAGCATGGGGCACGAACGACTCATTCTCCTGTGATCATGCTCTCACGTACATAACTGCAGGATAGAGAAAAGAGGGGGGTGGGGGGGGTGGGTTTGGGGGGTCGATCTGGAATAGGGGACACCACATGCTGAGAACTTGAGAAGGCCTGTCGGAAATATTGAACACCACATGTTGGTAAGAGCAGAGTGCGCTACTCACGTGTGCCCCCACACCACGACGCCGTCCGTGGGGATCTTGGCTCCGGGCACCACTCGAATGATGTCGCCCCTTTGGATCAACGCGGCTTCAATCTCCCTCTCGCCCACCACCCTCATCTCACCCCCCTCCTTCACCTCCTTGCCATCTATACCCTCCTTACCGCACTTACCCTCCTCCTCCACCTCCCCCCCTATCCCCTCCTCCCTACCCTCTTTCCCTTCCTTCCTGGCAGTCCCCTGTCCCCCCTCCTCGCTCCCACTCTCCTCTGCACTATCACACCCACCATCCATAACCCCCAGCTCGTAAACCCTCTTCTCCTCCCCCTCTACCAACCCCCTCGCCTCCTCTCCCTCCCCGCCCTCCCCCACCCTCCCACCCATCCCATCCCTCCTTCCTCCTCCTCCTCCATAATAAACCGGTCCAGAATCGCTCGACTCAAAGCTCATGTCCCCCTCCCTTATGTGTGCATCTAGTGCCGGCATGCTCATATCAAGGGACGCCTCAGATTTGAAGCTGAATCCAACCTGTCGCGCCGAATCAAAGAGTGCCACGTCATCAACAGACTGAAAGCTATAGTTTGCTTGTATCATATGCATAAAGCTCCCCTCCCTTCTCCCTGATTCCGTGTAACCGTAACCGCTGCTGCCGCTGCTAGTCGTGGTAACCACAGCACGGGTAGGGTTACCAGCACCAGCACCACCCCCACCACCACTCTCCTTAATCTCCAACACCGCCCCCCCCTTCCCTCCGCCTTTCCCCTCCTCCTCCTCTTCCTCCTCCAAATCATATTCAACCTCTAGCAGAGTAGCAGTGTCAGGAGCTAACTTAAGCAGCTTCCCTATAGCATCGCTAGTCTTGCCTCGCGCCAGAGCTTCCAGGTACTTTCCGAGGATGATGAACGAGATCAGCAGCGCGCTTGTTTCAAAGAAATCGATCCCAGCGTACGCGTAGGTTACCTCCATCTCGTCCTCTCCTCCTCCCCCTTCTCCCTCTCCCTGACCTTGACTCATGCCTCCTGCTGCTTCTGCTTCTGCTGCTGCTGCTCCTGCTGCGGCTGCGCCGGCTGCTCCTGCTGCTCCTGCCTGCATACCCCCACGGCTGCTGCTGCTGTTGGTGCCGGTGCGGGTGCTGGGTCTGGTACTGCTGCTGTTGCGCCTTGCCACATTGCTCCCTCCGCTCCTGCTAACAGCAGCCGCAACGGTGCTGCTGCCACTTATGCCACCACTGCCGCCACCACTGCTGCCACCACCACCACCACTACTGCCACTTACGCCTACCGTGTTGGCATAGGGAGTCACGTTAGGAGCAGCACCAGAAGCAGCAGCATCAGGAGCCGCACCAGCAGCTCTTAGCGCGCGCTCCTTCCTCATACTCTCAGCACGGGATTGCGCCGCATGCACCCGCCCGACCAAAGACTGCTCCAGAGAGCGTTCGGCCTCCAGGGACCGTTCAGCCTTCAAGGACCGCTCAGCTCTCAGCTGTTCGGCCCTGAGGCGCCCAGCCAGCTCCTGCCGGCGCACAGCCGCCAGCAGGCGGGGGGGCACGGCTAGGCGCAGGGCGTGCAGAATGCGGGCGGAGAGGCGGGGAGAGGAAGACCCAGCAGCAGCAGCAGCACCACCACCACCAGCAGCACTAGCAGTAGTGGCAGTTTGGGTGGGGCGCTGGTTCCTGTTATTAACAGCGTTAATCCAATCCCAATTACCCTCTGTCAACCCTGCGAAGCCATCTCCCCTGCTAACAGCACCACCAGTACCCGTCAGCTCGACCCTAGACGAGTTGGCCCTAGACGCATTGAACCCAGAAGCAGCACCAGGGGGCAGCGGCGCTACTCCTGGTACTACCGAACCTGCTTCTAACGAGGACGCTGCCGGTGGGCCCGGGGGGGGCAGGGTGGCCGGGGGAGCAGCAGCAGCAGGTGGGGCCAGGAGCGTCGGGGGGGTGACGGCGGAGGCAATGAGGATGAAGACTGAGTAGAAGAAGGCGGCGTTGGTGCCAATGGCGACCAGCACGTCCATATTGGCGGACCGGCGCTTCAGAGCGTAGTACGCGCCCACGTAGAAGCGCCAGCCGATGATGAACTGCATGGGGATGGTGAGGATGCAACGGGATAGGGCTCCCACGGTGAGGCTGGTGGTGGGGAGGGAAGGGGGGAGGGGGGAGGGGGAGGGGGAGGGGGGAGGGGGGAGGGGGAACGGGGGAAGAAGGGGGGTCGGGTTGAAGAGTGCACTTTTGGTGATGAGTACGGTCAAGAGAGGGCGCCCACGTAGAAGCGCCAGCCGATGACGAACTGCACTGGGATGGTGAGGATGCAGCGCAAGAGAGCACCGACAGTCAGGCTGGCGGGGAGGGGAAGGGAGAGGGGAGAGAATAGTTTCAGGTGAGTCATGAAGGACACGTGCACACACACACACGCGCACGCGCACACACACTCACTTTCTCACCAGTTGACGATCCGGTACATGAGCCAGCCTTTGAAGGGCGGAATCCGATCCAGCATCATGGCCAGCAGAAACACCGGCACAGAGAACACCAAGCTCCACATAAACTGCCGCCATAGCAGGCACACACGCCCACACGCCCCCCCTTTACCCCCCCCCAACACGCACACACTCACCAGTTGACGATCCGGTACATGAGCCAGTCCTTGAAGGACGGAATCCGATCCAGCATCATGGCCAGCATGAAAACCAGCACAGAAAACACCAAGCTTAAGAGACCAGAGACATCACCGACCACAGACCACCCCACACACTCACCAGTTGACAATCCGATACATAAGCCAGTCCTTGAAGGGCGGAATCCGATCCAGCACCATGGCCAGCAGAAACACCGGCACAGAAAATACCAGACTCCACATAAACTGCCGCCATAGCTTCTGGATCTCCCTCCTCCGCTGCTTCGACCCCGCGCTTCCGCCCAGTCCCCCCCCCTCCCTGTCCGCCAGTTCGACTTTTTCCAGGCGCCCGGTTAGGACTAGGCCCGCGTGTAGCGCCTCTAGGAGAGTCCTGGGGCCGCTTATATCGGGGTTGAAAGAGACGGTGACGTGTTGGTTGGGAGCGTTGACTGCTGCTGCGGAAACGCCGGGGAGGAGGCAGAGGGAAGCTTCGATGAAGGTGGGGAGGGGGAGGGTGGCGGAGAGGTGGGGGGAGAACGTGAGAGGCGGGGAGGAGGCGGACATCGCGTGTTTCGCCGGCGCCTCGGGCGCGGAGGTAGTACCTACTATAGTAGCTACTAAAGCAGTCTCGGAGAGGCCCTTAAGGTGGAAGCGCACCTGCTGATGCTGCGACCCAGAAGAGCCAGAGGAGCCGGAGCCGCCAGAGTAGGCGGAGGCGGGGGAGGGGGAGGGGGAGTCGAAGAGAAGGGTCGCGGAAGGGAACCCCGCCGCGTGGATGATAGCGAGGAGCGCGGCGGGGGAGAGGGAAGCGGGGGGAGGCGAAAGGTCGGCGGAAGCGGAGGGCGGGGCGGAACCGGGGGAAGCGGAGGAAGCGGGGGACGCGGGGGACGCGCCGGGCGCGGAGGAAGGGGAGACGGTGTAGACAACGTGCGCTTCGAGCTCGTCTCGCTTGCTGCGGCTCGGAGTCACCGACGCGCACAGCACCCCAGGGGTCATCTGCAGCGTTCTCTCCAGGGATACGCCGGCGGAAGCTGCCCCTGCGGAGCCAGCGGCCGGTTCCGCCGCCAGCGGCGCAACTTGAGGTTCCGCGTGGAGTTCCGCCGCCGGCACGCGGAAGCGGATCGCGCGCGCCCCACCCATCGACTTGGGAAGCCCTCCCGCGCTTGCTGCCGCTCCCGTCGCGGCGGCCGCCGCCGCGTCGCCTGCTGCGTTGTTGGCGCTTCCGCCGGCGGCGCCGCCGGCTGCGGGAGGTGCGGCGGCGGTGGTGCAGGAGACGATGCTGACGTCAAATCCCGCGTCCTCGACAGCGTTCGCTATTTCGTCCTCCTGTTACAATCACACGCAGGGGTACAGACGCGAAATGAGAGCAGGAGTGAGATTACACCGTATTGCGTTTCGATTTTATTTTTATTTTTCGGGAACGGAGCTGCGCACTCACGTTCGTCACCGTGTTGTCGAATGTGACCTTAGCGCGCTCGCTTATAACGGAGACGGTTGCGCCCGACACGCCCTCGAGGCGCAGAAGCGCTTTTTCAATGGAGGCGGCGCACGCCGCGCACGCCATTCCGCCCACGGCGAGAAGGACCTCCGCCGACACACCTCTAGCGCTTCCGCCAACTCCGCCAGCTCCGCCAGATCCGCCATCCCCGCCATCTCCGCCGCCAGCAGTAACCGCCGGTGCCGCCGATGCACCGGCGGCACGAGCGGCGGCGGCGGTTCCGCTCGCGGCGTCTTCCGCGCCCGGGGTGGCGGAAGATGCAGTCGCCGCGGTCGGTGGCTCAGCGCCGGCGGCGCCCAGCTCCGCCTCGCGGGAAACGAGCGGAGCGGCTGATGCGCCGCGCGCGCGCGTTGGACGGCCTTTCGGCGCGAACAGGGCAGACTGGAAGAGCTCCAGCACGCTCTGCTGACGGCGGCGGCGCGCGGGCGGCGGCGGCGGTGGAGGTTCCGCCGCTGCGCTTTCCTCCATCATGACGGCGGAGTCTCCGCGCGTGGGGAGATCCCCGGCTGCGCTCCTTTGCGCCTCTTCGGCCTTTGCGCGGGGTCGTGGAGCGTCTTGTTGGGCGGACAAATCGACGCGCCGCGAGATGCGAACCGCCGCCGCCGGAGTTGGTTTAGTCAGTGTTGTCGGCTACCGTCGCCTCACACACACGCCGCTGTGCACGTGTCGCCGTGCGGCGGCCGTAACGACCGCGTGGAGAAGCCCTTGACACGTACCGCCAGTAGCACAAGTAGTAGCTCTTGCAAATAATTCCGACAACGGGAGCAATGCGACCCAGAGTGGGTGGAAACCGTCAGCTGGTTGTACAAGCGACTATGGTGCAAGTTAGCCCGACGGGCATAATAAGCGCATTCGAATCGATCGAGAGATACTAGGGGTGGAAGATTAGGCTCATCATGCTGGCGAGATGCCAGAAAAAACTGGAGGGACCTGATCTAGTCTGTGTGCTCTACATAAAGAGTGAGACTGATGCGGATATTGATCGAGCCAGTCTCTCACCCACTCGCCTGCCGAACCTGTTACCTGTCCCGCCCTGTCTGTCTGCTTCGTTTTGTTCGCCCACCAACCACGGCTCGCCGCCGCCTTGCTTCGTTCTTTTTGTCGCTAGGTTGTTGACCTGTGGTCTTGAATTCCCCCGTCCCCGTTCCCCGTTCCGGTCTCGCGGCGCCTAGAATCTAGATCCACGGCTGGGTGGGGCATGGAGGTGGGGGACAGACGTACAGCGAGGGCGTAGCTCGGGTGGGCTCGAAACACCAAAAGTTTCAAGCGTGGTTCAGCGAGTTTACAGTCGGTACGGTGTGCTTCAATTGCATAATAACGCGGTACACTTCGGTGACAGTTCGAACTGGAGATATTGAGCCCACCTCTCCCACAGTGATCCTTACAGTAACTGGTTGGTAGGGAACTGTACACGGCGGCCTGCTGGTGCGAAATGGCTTGCGACCCTTCGGGCTCTCGGGCGACTGGGCTTACGCTCGCCTGCTTTTTTCGCCTGCCGTCGCGTGGGCGCGTGAACGCGTTCCGGCTCTGGACTGAGCCAGCCAACCAATCATGGGGGGCAATCCAAGGAACAAGCGAACTGCGGCGACAGGCGGAGAGGGACAGCGCGGTGCGACGAGGCCAAGGGTGGAGGAGGGTGATATCTGGAGTGAAACTGGATGGATATTGGACCGAGGGCTTGAGAAAGGTATAATTTCCGGGCATCCGGTAAACAAATCCAAGGGCATAAGAGGAGGAGGTGAGCGAATGGCGATATATCCAACGCTGGTCGAAGACTGTCACCTGCGTGGGCGCTGCTCTGCCCAGACTGAAGAAATGCATTGTCAGGGAATGTTCTTCACCTGTGACAGACTACTTTGTGGCAAGTTTTGGCAATATTTTTTTCGCTCAGGATTGTATAAAAGAAGATTTTGGATTATCCTGCACGTTGAAAGAGGCAGATGAAAAACTTGCCCCAAAGTGTGCCACAGGCGAGGAACTGCCTTCAATGTGTGCGACCCTCCGTGGCCTTCACAGAATGCCGTGAGAATTCACCCAACAAGTAATAAATTTATACTCAACTTTTTTGTCCACACCCTGTAATGCTTATGCAATTGTAGACATAGTTTCAACCGAGTACTTCCCCAGATCCTATTTTCCAAACAGCCAAATCAGTCGTTTCAGAGGGGATTCTGCCATGCAAGAATTTTTTTCAGTGTGGTCATCTATGTTTGGACCTCACTAGCAGCCCTGGGCTATATGGGGTCAGTCATCCATAGACCCGATTTTCCCCGCTTGGCCAATGGCCACTTACGGGTTCGCCCTTGGGGCATTACTGTGAGGAGCGTGTGTTGGCGCGTGTGGAGAGGGGGGGAAAACGACACAGCGGGCAGGCGTGAAAAAATCACCCCTCGTGTGGCCAGTGAGCTTTATTCCATGGTGCGCTGGCAGGATGGTGTCAATTGAGTGGTGGCGATCATAGACGAACGTACTGTACGGGACTCGTTCGTGAAACTTGACCAGAGGCGAACGCGCACCTTCGCCAGCACCGGGGGGGGTGCGTACGATCTTCCCCAGCCGATGCTGTCGGATATGACACGCTGGAGTATGCTAGCCGTCGATTAACGGATGAGTGTACCAGGACGGTACACGTAGGACTGAGACCTACGCGCCTGCCAAATCGTACCTCCCGTGTTTTAAAGGCTTTGAAACGCGAACGCACGCGCCTCGCGGGTGGCTATTCAACATAGCATTACGGGTACGTGTGGGGAGTGGAGGTTGTGAGCAGCGGGGAAGGTCCAGGAGCCTCCCTGCCTGTAAAACGTGAGTTGCCTGTAAATGCTTCAACAGTGGCAGCTGCCTTCACCAGCTGTGTTGCCTTTGTAACGTTACCTAACTAGGTTTCAACATTGTAAGGAATTAGGAATTCCTTACTGAGGCTTGCTACAGGGCGTACGACTCGAACAGTCCCGAACCATCGCCAGGGTTCTAGACCTATCAGTTCGAGCCTCCTGGGCCTTTCCGGACCTCGCTACGACACATCGAGGCCCTTCGATACTTTTCCCGAACCTTCCGATCCTACGTCCAGGATCACCCTAGGCTTTCTATATATTGTATTGTCTTTCATTTTATTGTCATTCACTCGTTCGCAGTTTCGCCATTGCCCTCCGCGCTACTCGGCAGTCCCATTCATAACAAACATGTTATGAATTATAACTCAGTGTATAGCGCAAAATACTATAGGGGAAAGTGATTACAATGTGTCCATAGAATTGAGGCCTAGGGCTTATATAGTGCGAGCTGGCTAGGGTTGAATGTCGAGGGTTGGACCAGTCAAGGGCTCGACAGTCCCGAGGGTGACGGGGTCAAAATGGGTTCGGGGCGATTCAGGATCAGGTTGGGGCCGAAAAGGTCGACGTGGGCTGATTTGGCGCGAGAACCAAGGGCTGAGCCTGTGGAACCGAGAGGTTTGCGTGTACTCGCTGTGGCGAACCCCAGTAAGGAATTGTAATTCCTTACACAACAAATGCTTAACTCCCCGTTATAAGTGCTAGCGAAATTTTCCTCATAGTTGGAAACAAGAATGTGTCAATGTTAGGATCCGCGTTTGGGGTGTAGCCGAATGGCCTACCATATTTATCCGAATGGCCTCAAAATAATCTGATTGGGTCTTAGCTCATGGACTAGGGTATTATCCAAACCACTGCCCAATACAAGACCCTATTTTAGGTCCATGGCGGGACAAGACCCCAAGGCATTTTACACTCAAATCTACCAATTAGAATTCGATTCACATGCTAACACTAACTGACTTCTAAATCACAACAGAGATTCAACATAGTCTTACAACTACCTTTCCTCCCAACCACCCTACAAGGTCATATACAGGCCCACATTCCGCATGCCACCTTCTAGCGGTACTCATCCATCCACCTAGGATCTACATCCCCAGTATCCTCACCGTCCAACGCATCCTAGTAGTCTTCCACATTCATGTAATAATCCTCGGGCTCAGGTGGGTCTGGCTGGAGCTCAACCTTCTCAAGAAAAGGATCTGGCAGCTCACGATCAATGACCGTCTCCTCCACCCTCTCTGCTCCAAGCCCAGCAGGTGCATTACGCGAAGAAAGGACGACACAGTAATCCTCCTCGTCAGCAGCTTCCTCGTCTGTAGCAGCCTCGTCAGCAGCGGCCTCAGCCATCTCGGCCGCCTCAAGGCCTTCCTCCTCAAATGGCCTTCCTTCTCAAAAGGGCTGAAGTTGTCTCCATCACAGCCTGAGGCATCCACCACATCATCCACCAGGTCGAACGACGAGGCTTCGCGCAGGTGACGGAGGCAGAGGTCGTCCTCGGATCCATCAACAAGAGTTGACAGACCACATGTCTTGAAGGACCGCACCAGCAGCCCCATCGGAATGGCGTCCCATGACCGCACCACCCACCTCATAACCTCCTCTACTGGGGGCTTCTTCAGATTTCCTGAATCAAACAGCCATGCAAAAAAACACAACCTCCATAAAATGCATTCCATAACATGGCTCCGATGATAAGCACAAGAAAACCACAACATACCAGTCTTAGTGAAGGTTCGAACTCCATTTGTGGCGAACCATTCCTGGTAGCATTTCTTGACGCTGCACTTGAAGCACTTGTTGATGCGTATGTCAAGTGGCTGCACCAGGGAGGTGCAGCCGCCGGGAATGATGGCCGGGAACAGCTGGAAGAGATTGAATGTTTGCCTCACCCCCGGCATGAGATGGCCCCTGTAAGAGTCTACCACAAGAAGTGCTGGTTTACGGGATTCTCCGGAGCGAGGCTTCACGAAGGGGGCGGCCACCTTGGTCACCCAATCCTTCACAAGAGGCTCGTCCATCCACCCCTTGGGCTGAGCACGGATGATGACACCTGAAATGCAAAAGAAACGATGGTTAGCATGCGTAACCGTGCCTGGATATGAAAACGCCAAGTACGGTATCGACGTACCACGAGGGATCTCAACATTGGGCACAGAGGAAGGGAGGGAGCCTACACCCCACTAGCGGTGCATGTCAGCATTACTGTCACACGTTCCTTTTCATACCTGATGGTATAATTGTGGACAATGCAGGCTCCTTTGTGCTCGAGTGTACGCTCCATCAACAACTCCAAGAGTAACGGAGTTTGGTCCGCTTGATGATCATAGCCGCGTCTATGCCATGCTTGATACGCATCTCGCAGCAACACTTCCATAGCCCCTCAACCTTGACTGCACAATCTGCGGTGGGGTAATGGCAAGGCATGGTGAACAACGTAAGTCATGCATAAAAGGCACGCTGCAAAGCGAGAGAAATGCATCCATGCAACGAGCAGAGCACCTGATATGCGGAAACCAGATAACGTAACGAAATGCATCGCGTACCTTTGGCTAGTCGCTGTCCTTGTTTTGTCTTGATGCGAAGAGCTAGTCCCCATCGCAGACGAAACCGTCGAGCCCAACACTTAGAGATGCTCCAATCGACTTGAGGGTGGTGGCGATTCATGTACTTCCGACTCCACTGCTTCAACAGCGGAACAGAGACGTGCAAGCCTTGCGCACGGTAGGAGAGGAAATTTCGATAGAAATATACTTCTATCTCAGGTTGAAGAGAGCACCTACCTATGCCATGAAGGCGCTTACGGGCTTTGAATGCCTCCTTGAACCGTGCCTCCAACCTCTACCTCCCAGCCTCAACGCGGGTCCTCTCCCTCCCTGTCAGGAGGCAGCCTAGCAGTAGGCGCCATAGCTTGCATTGCTGCTGCTGGCGATGTGGCTATCCTCCTACTTCTGCTGCTGGGTCTGATGCTGTGCAAGCGAGGGCACACCGAAGGGGCTGCAGCACGAGGCACTAGTGGCACAGATGCAGAGGGCAAGGATCTGGCAGAAGAGAGTGCGCTCCAAGGTAAAATTCAAGTCAGGATTCTGATGGACGTTGTGTAATCCCTGTCCACCACTCATCTCTTCGTGAACCCACCAATCCCTTTCCACCTTCACTACATTCCAATTAAAAAAAAAAAACAGGGTTACCGAGAGAAGCATACAATGTGGAGGAGAGCGACCCAGAAGAAGCAGAAGTCGCAGCTGCAGCGGTAACTGTGGCAGCAAGAGTAGCAGCAGCACGAGCACAGGAGAGAGGGGATTTGGTGGTGGATATGGAGGCAGTGAAGCCACAAAGTGTGCCAGAAGTTCACTCTGGAAGAGTTGGATAACGCAGCAGCAGATTGGGTCAAGGGGAACAGGATTGGCAGCGGCAGCTTTGGGGATGTGTACAAGGGCGTGTCTTCGTACGACCCAAATGAGATATGGGTGGTGAAGCGATACAGGATTCTCTCCAATGACTTCCGCACTGAGGTATCACTCCGTGATAGTGCTGTATTTGGAATCACACTGAACGTCAATTTGTCGTTCACCTGATTAAACTTATTCTCATACGACGTCCATGTCTCCTCCACATCACTTAATATATCGCCTTAAACCGATTCAAATTTACACTTTTATCCATCTCCCTTTCTCGATCCCTGCTTGTTTTCACCCCTCTTCCTGGCCCCTCAAGGTGAGGGAGATGGCATCGAAGCACCAGCCGCACCTGGTGCGGTTGCTGGGCTTCTGTCTGAACTTTGATCCGACCACGAGCCACGTGGAGCAGGTGCTCGTATATGACTTCATGGCCAACCGAGACCTCGAGTCCTGGATTGGACCAGGTTACTCAGATTCCTTCGCAACGCCCTTCGATGAGTCCTTTCGCCATTGGCTTTTGTGAAACATGGGCTAAGGACTGTTTGGAATCTACCTTGTTCCCTTGTGCTGTTCCCGATCGTTTAGCGCCATGTCTAAAGGGCCTTCTTCTACATTGCTTTCTAGAATAAATCGACTTCCGAACCATCCTTAGCAGTGTGATACTAGTTTCGATCCTTTTTTATGTCATGCCATAGCACATTTTCCACCTATCTCTTTCCAGGTGCACCAAGCCCTCTTTCACTGTTGCAACAGCTGGACATTCTAATCGGGGTGGCAAAGGGGCTGCAGTACCTGCATGACTTCGGTATAGTGCATCACGACATCAAGCCAGCCAACATTCTCCTTGACACAAAGATGCAGGCATGTCAAGACTTTGATTTCTACCGATTTCTGCCTGTTTACTAGCCAAATCTTCTTTTTCGTGTCATTGTTCGCATGCTCTTATTCGATATATGCTACTTGGTGAACTCATCAAGTCCTTTCTATATTACCTTTTCTGTCATTGGTGGCCAGTCCAGAATTGCAGACTTCGGTCTTGTGAAACTCACTGAGGGCACCACTATGGGCACACCTGTGGCTGCCACTCGAGTGATGGGAACACCGGGCTATGTGGACCCTGCATACTAAAAGTCACACAAGGCCATTACAGCAGCAGATACCTATAGGTGAGCTTATATTTGCGTGTTTTGTACACGCGAGCGTGTCTGTATGAGTGTGTGTGTGCATGTGTGTATACATATGTGTTTGCGCGGGCGTGTGTTTATATGTGTGTGTATGTGTATGTGTGTGTGTATGTGCGCGTATGTGCACATGCGTGCATGAGTGCATGTGTGTGTGTGTGTGTGTGTGTGTGTGTGTGTGTGTGTGTGTGTGTGTGTGTGTATGTTTGTGTGTACCTTGGACGTTCTATTGAAGTGCCTCTCATCAACCTCTTTTCTATTGAACGCAAACACGGTTGCATCTGGCATAGTCCAGGAAATCGACGCTTCGTTTCAGGTGGATTTCGATGCTGAGATTGCTCGAGTGAAGAGCATGGGTGTCTCGGGTAGGTCGTTTGGAAGTGTGTAGTGGGAAGCATACCCTATAAGCTCCGCTGAAACGCTCTAGACTAAAGAACTGTTTAATTATCGAGTGTATTATACACCCTGTGTGCTATCATATGCTCGTATACTCTTGTTTCTTATGCAGCAATCTTGACTCACCCGCTTGTCTCCCTTCGACACCGCGCTTGCACTAGAATGAGGAAGTCCCAAGCAGGGCCCAAATTTGATTTTGGGGCCACCCTTATAGAATTAGGGTGTTTTGTGTGGAAACTGCTACCACCCTGTTGCTGTTGGGGTGTTTTACAATGCACCCTGTTTTCAACTCTGGGCAAAAAAGCAATGGCCCGTGGCTGTTTCCAAACAAGGTGGTGATTCTGTATGGCAAGGCCAACAGGACAAAGGAGATCGCATCTTCAACGTGCAGTTGCTGTTGCTGTTGTAAAACCTATCCCACTGCTGCTGCTGCTGCTGTAAATTATTGTGTCAAACCTAACCCACCGATGCTGAATATCGCATCCGTGACACACTTCTGTGTGACACACGATTCGCAGGGCTGCCCGGTTACTAGTTAGCAACCCTGCGTGGCAGATTCGTTAGTCTGTAAACTTGAAGGGCTTGATCTCCTTGGTACAAGGGTGTTCTTTTAGACGCCCTGACTGGTCAGGCGGGGTAATGCATCGTGCCTGACTAAAGCAGGGTAAAGAATCCCTTCGAGTGTCTTGAGAATGTAGGAGTTGGTGAAGAACTTGAAGAAGCTCTTCAAATAACTTGGAGAAGCTTAAGATGTCTTGAAATCTTCACTCCTGTATCTTGGATTAAAGTCCAATCACCCCTCTAAAAAGAAAGATCAAGAAAAATCCCACAAGGCTTAAGATTAACCTTGCTCTGAATACCAATGTAACAACCCTTACCCTTATAGCATGGGCAAACAAGGGTTGAAGTAAAAACCAACATCCAAGATCCTAGGATATAATAATGAAGTACAAAGTTAACTAGCGATCTCCTAGCGTTGTACTTAGGAAGAACCCCCTCTTAACAGTAGCTTAAGCTTCAGGAAGGCTCTTGGAGAATAAGACTTGAGGCTCTCGTTGGGTAGGGCTTCCCCTAGAATACTACACTAGAAGCTACTAGTGTAGGAAGGCTTGTGAGGAGAGCTCAAAACTTAGAGAAAAATCCCATTTCAAGATTGATTTCTTGGAGTGGGAAGTTGAGAATGAGCTTCTCAGCCCAGACCCCTTCCAATGACTCCCAGCAGCTGCTGAACCTCCTCCATGGCTCCAAGGAGGTGAACTAGCTTATGTGGCAAAGGGTTGGATTTCCAACCAATGAGAAGTTTACAACAATGTATTCAGATTAGCATATAGTGTACAGCATAGGAATATTTGAGTTGAGTTGGCATTGCCAACCAACTCCCTGATTCTGATTGGTCGCAAATCCAACCATCGTGTGTGTTGGGAATTTCGCCAACTCTACTTTCGACGCGCTTTGCTGAACCCTAGGTGATGACGAGACACATCACTTCAAGTGCCTTGGTAAGCGTGCGAGCACGAGCAAAACCACATGCGTCGCGGAAGAGAAACAGACGGGCCTAGCAAGGACCCTCGGTCCCTAACTTGGATTCCTGTCCGGTATCACGCGCATCGCCCACGTGGGATTGTTCACATCATTTGCCGCCTGCTCCGCGAATCTGGATGCGACCCTGAATCCGGCCCTCATTGCCCCGCCAAAGGGCGTGGTGCTTAGTTCCGATTCTCGGCTCAAACCGGAACTTGGGCTGGATACATAGTTCACAGCACATTCGATAGGGCTTCATGAATGTATTTCAGGGAAAAGGTTTTGCGAATTTTGGTACTAGTTCCGGATTTTCAAGTACCACGCCCTTAGAGCGTAATACAAGTGCCTTTGGTTTGGTCATCCAGCGCCCGTTGTAAGGCATTTCCACGAGTGATGTGACTGTGGTGGCTGCTTGTACAAAATTGGGCGTGGCCTGTGTTAATTAAAGTGGCTCTAGGGATGATCCCTTATGATCAGGTCTATTACTTTGGAAACTGAGAAACACCCTGAAAAACCAGAGTTTGTGCTTCAGGTAACCCTGAAAATCAGAGTGGCACAGATTTCACTCGTGAAAATCAGAGTAGTGAAAAAACAAAGATCAGCATTGGTTAACACTAACTGACTTCTAAACCACAACAGGGATTCATGCTCCATCGACAGCTCCAAGAATAACGGACTTTGGTCCGCTTGATGATCGTTGCAGCATCTATGCCATGCTTGATACGCATCTCGCAACAACACTTCCACAGCCCCTCTACCTTGACTGCACAATCTGTTGTGGGGTAAGGGCAAGGCATGGTGAACAATGTAAGATATGCATAAAAGGCACGCTGCAAGGCAAGAGAAACGCATCCATGCATTGAGCAGAGCACCTGACATGCACAAACCAGAAAACATAACGACATGCATCGCGTACCTTTGGCTAGTCGCTGCCCTTGCTTTATCTTGACATGAAAAGCTAGTCCCCATCGCAGACGAAACCGTTGAGCCCAACATTTGCAGGCGCTCCAATCAACTTGAGGGTGGTGGCGATTCATGTACTTCCGACTCCACTGCTTCAACACCAGAACAGAGACACGCAAGCCCTGCGCACGGTAGGAGAGGAAATTTCGATAGACAGATACTTCTATCTCGGGATGAAGAGAGTGCCTACCTATGCCATGAAGGCGCTTACGGGCTTTCAAGGCCTCCGTAGAGGGGCCAAGGCTAGGTTGCATGGGAGCAATGGGTGGATCTTGGTGTTGGCCTTGTACTTGGGCATCTTCCCTTCGGCTCTCTTCTCCAGGTCGTTCTCGGGGCGCATCTCTGTTCCTTCCATCACCTCCAGCAAATCATAGTGGTCAAAGCTGTTCTCCATCTTGAAGGGCGCTTCGCTTATCTTTCTCCATGAGCTGAAGCCGTTCGAGCTTCTCTTTGACAGAATGGCAATGACGCTTTCCACGTGTCTTCCCCCCATGGCTCTTAGGGCGCCCTGCATTACGGCCCAGCTTAAGGTGTTTGGTATTCGCAGGAGTTAGAAAATCAGGAACAACTACGTCATTGAATGTCTCGTCATCTACTAGCCTACTCGACGGTCCTGCAATAAGAGTATATGCACTAGGTGAAGGGTGGACATGCTCGGAAGGGGCTTTCTGCCGAGAAGACGCATCTCCAACAGGCTGGCCCCGAGGAACATCGATGGGCTGAGGAGAGGCGTGCTGGGGAGAGGGATCTGGCTGGGGGACAAGAGCAGCAGACGCGTAGTTGATGTTGTGTGCATTGTTAAAGCCCCACTCTCATAATTCCAGGAAGTGACCGATTGCTAAATGTTTGGTACCCATTTACGCTGGCAAATGTGAAGTGATAGGCTTGGAAATGCCTCGGACAGTATGATGTGCTAGGGGGGGGAGATCAATCGTAAATCTATTTTTGCAATATACTGTAAGAATCCTCAAGTTCTCGTAAGAACGGTGCTGCGTTACCGTTAGATCTTCAAGAGCCTTCAATCTGACGGTTGAGTGACTTGGCATATAAATCGACGGCTATGAACGAAGTGGAAAGCAGTTGCGCAAAAAATTGGAGTTTGCACCGTCCGATGTGCTAAGCCTGACGCGTGCCAGACTTTCCAAGACCAGTTTCTTGGTTTGGTGTTTTTTGTCGAAACAAAAGTCCTCACCACATGCTTTTCGTTTTCGTGAATTTGTTTACACCTCGCGTACCATTTAGTGCCAGTCTGTCTCAACCAAGTGTTAAACTCTAGTAATTATGATATGGGGGCTTTAATATTGATGACAACGGGGGGAGGTGCAGCAAGAGGGGAGTCTATGGCAGGGCGCACACTAGCAGCGGCAGTTTGTCGTCGAAACAAGGCAGAGATGCCACTCACGGGAGATCCCATGACTCCGTCATGGGGGGAATATGCATGTTGAGTGTGTAGGGTCCCCTTCCCTTGTGTAGAACAAAGGTGCAGCTCGATGAACTTGACCAGGGAAGCTGACGTAACGGGGAAGTCTTGTCAGGCGACAGCAAGGCAATTGACAGGTCATTATTCTTTTGCCTGCGCTGAGCTGTCTAACGTTATATAAAGCAGCGTGCTTGCATCACACCTCACGATAGGAACATCCCTACGCGACAGGCAATGAACGTGCCTGAGCAGCCTTACTAGAGCCCCCAACACTTAGACATGCATGGCTGTGCGGATCGCCTGGTTGAAAGGGCGAACCACATTTGGTTTCGGGGTTGCCGAGAGTGAGCGCAAGCCTAAAACGAGTAGATTTACACATCAGAACACTTCTAACCATCTAGAACATGGTTTTAGAAAAAAATATCCTTCAAAAACCTAGGGTCTTCAAACTTTCCTCTTGATTAAAGACACTGCCTGGATATACTGTAAGAACCACCTGATAACCATATAGAATAAGACCCTAGGGTACATTTATCGGATAAATGCGATAGTATCGGAGATGTATCAGCAGAAAACGTGAAATAAAAATATGCGCGAAGGGTCGGGTCAGTACATTGGTTCGCTTCCGAGGTAGGTAATCTTGTGTTGCTGTGTATGGGCGTTGTGGCTGATGATCCACTTTTGCGGTAGTAGGAGATGTGCTATCATGGAGGTAATCATGTGATGAATATGAAATCGTCCAAAGTAGCAGGGTCGTTATTTCAGTACGTCAGACATTTGCAATTTCTTAGTGCCAAGAAGTACTAAATCCTTCTCCGTGTATGCCTAAGCTCTTCAGTTTTGTTGAGCATTTCTTTTAGTGACCAAGTTGATCTTCCTGATAGCCTCATCGGCTCGTTTCCGGGCAGCCTTCAAATGCTCGATGGACAATGTGTGCATGGTAAATTGCGGGTTCTATGTTAGGGGCATTACTAGAGGGGCAGCTAAGGTTATGTTAATGACGAACCTACATCTGCCGCAGCCAAAGAACCCATGGAGGTTGAACGTACCTGGGGCAAGAAATAGTTAGTCGTGCCTGATTCTTGGGCGCGTCGCCAACACCTCGGCATCCGTTGAGCTGTAACCGCAGAAGTAGCCAATTCATCTAGTCTGCGTTAACCCTCCGCCAACAATTTGTCTTTCACCGGCCTTCTTCCTTCACTTCGACTTGTACATTCGTTCAAGAGGGCATATGACTACGACAGAAACATAGCACAAGCGGTTATGTTACAGTATACCTTGCAAGAATATCCCTACAACTCGATTAAAGCCTCGGTTCTCTTAACCAACAGCCAATGCTTCGACCTAGCCGTCAGTCACCCTGCACCTGGCGCTCACCTGAGTCACGCTCTGTACCCGTTGCATTTCCCGAGTGCCTCTAAGTACTCACCGATGGAGGTCGTATTCAGCAACATCCTCTTAGTGCCGTAGGAAGCAGAGGACATCAGCAGCAATGACTACCGATATATAATTACCTTCATCGACGGTGCTACCTGATATGTCTGGCACACGAACTTATCTCATAAGTCCGAAGCTCTCGACGCATTCAAACTATGGCTGAAAATAACAGAGCGGCATCAAACTGAACGAGATACAAAGAGACAACACGCGGGAGTACACCAGCTAGCAGTTCGATGAATGTATGGCGCGGGCAGGATTTCTCAGCCACAAGATAATGCCTTAAGCCCATTAGCAGAACGGGGTCGATGAGCGGACAAACATAATGCTACAAGAGAAGATGTGCGTGCTTCTGCAACAATCCAACATGACAGTCGATTTTTGGCCGTTTGCGATGGCGCAAGCTATTTGACTGCAAAATTGTCTCTCTTCAACTGCCCTACATCAATCCAGTTCGCCACATGTCATGTGGACAAAGAAGCCTCCCGATACTCGACTTTTATGAGTTTTGGGCTGCACGGTCCAATACCGACCTCCAAGTGTTACTGTGGGCATATTCATTGCAATGAAATCCATCGTCACATGCTGGATGGCTGTTCGTAGGTTGGTATCAGTTGGAGTTGGTCAGTGGGCTTTGTTCTTGGTATCTTCATAACCTAGCACGTGGGCCAAATCATCACATGTCGCTTTATTGTTCCACGTGCGGGCTCCTCAGCGATGGCTCCGGTAATTCCAAGGAGTCGCATAGCCCCACCGCCCCCCTCCCCCTCCCTCCTCATTCTAGGTGTGAGAACCAGTCGAGATTTAGCGACGAATAGATGGGTTAGCTTAGGATCAAGGGCTCTGCGTACCAAGTGTTAGGATCCGCATTTAGGGGCGTATCTGAGCAGCCTAGGAACGTCGAAGAATTAACGGAAAACGTGAGCGACAAGCCGAGTGAAAGATTCATGCGAAGCATTTATGGGCGAAAAAAGCAATGTGTGAAGTCTAGTGAGGTGGCCAAGATATTCAGCTAGCACGCAAGTTTGGAGCGTGGCATCGAAGAATGCAGACTTATGCAACGAGTGAATCGGTAGTGCTCACGTGGGTCGGGTCGACAGAATTTGCACTGCGCGAACAAGTGGCAACTAGACACGACCAATGACAATGTTTGTGCGCGCTAGTGTGCAGGATGTACAGTAAGGAAAAGTTTTCCCTTAAAATCACACAATGAAATAAATTTTACTACGCTTGGGATTATCGTAAAGAGTCTAATGTGTGAATAAGTAAGTATTACATTCTGTATACATTATAATAACATCACTTCATACCCAATGGAGCGGGGAAAACGGGGCACGCTGTAAAGGCTAGCAAGCACCCTTTTTCAGCATCGTAACTCATCTCGTGCACTGCCACTTCGAATTTGAGGGGCCCGCACAAGGGGCGAATGCTACTGGTGGAAGAGTCCTGGCGGGGGGCAGCGGAACGGGGACGCGATTTCCGCTAGCTCTATTCCGCTGAGTGCGGCGCAAACGGGGAGCGCTTTGAGTCGACTAAAAACGGGAAGTCGGCGCGCGGGGAGTGCGCGGGCGGCATGGAGCGCGCGGAACGGCGGAAAGGCGGCGGAAGCGAGTCGAGCGACGATGAGGAGGGCGGAGGCGCAGGGGGGTTAATGGGGCCGCTGGGGAGGATATGCCTGGGAGATGGGGACGAGTCTTCCGCGGACGATGCGGAGGTTGCGGAAGATGCGGAAGATGCGGAAGATGCGGGGAACGGGAAGGGGGACAAGCGGAGATCTGCGAATGTGCGGATGGATCGACAGGGGGAAACAGGGGAGGCGGAAGGGGCTGGGCACGCGGGTCGAGGAGGCGGAGAACGCGGGAAAGGCGCGCGGAGGAAAGTGAGGGGAGGCGGAACGGGCGTGGGGCCCGTTGCGCCTCCGCCAAGCGCCTTCCGCGCGGACGATGGGGGACGGAGGAGGAGTGAGGCGGAAGGCAGCAGGGGAGTTGATGGGGAGGCGCGGGCAGGGGGCGGGGATGGGGAAGGGGGAGACGTGGACGGGGAAGGGGGGCGCGGAGGCGTGGTTCATGTGGGTTATGAGCCCTTGAACAGGTACTGGTAACCCGGAAACCCTTGTAACGCTATTGCTGCATCGTCCGTAAAACCCAGAAATTCTAAAACCCGAAAACCCAAAACATTGAAGACCACTCAAAACCCGAAACCATTGACATCCTTTGCAGTTGCTTCTCTTCTTTATATTGTAAGAAGCATACAGATGCTGTACTGTAGACCACTCAAAAGTCTTCTCTGTTTCCTTTGTCATCAGCGCCCCCTTTTCCCATCAGCGCCCTTCCCCCTCTGCTCGTGCGCCAGGTGCCCTCCCAAGGACCCTCCTCTCAACTCTGGCCGGCTGCCGAGTTTTGAGTCAACTCAGATGCCTTCTATCCTCTTTTGAGTCGACTCAAAAGTCACCCAGATGCCTTCTCTCCTCTTTTCCTTTCCTCCCTTTTCCCCCCCAGCACCCTTCCCCCTCTGCTCGTGCACCTAATGCCCTCCCACGCACTCTCCTCTCAACTCTGGCCCGCTGCTGACTTTTGAGTCTTCTCTCCCCGTTCTCTTCTCTCCCTTCCCCACTCCCCAGCGCCCTCCCCCCTCTGCTCGTGCGCCAGGTGCCCTCCCAAGGACTCTCCTTCCAGCTCTGGCCCGCTGCTGAAGCGCTCTGCCACTTCCTGGAAGCTTCCTTCGGGCCGTGCCCCGGTCGACCCTCCCCTGCGCAGCAGCAGGAGCGACAGGAGCGGCAGGAGCGGCAGGAGCAACAGGAGCAACAGGAGCAGGAGAAGGCATTGCAAGAAAGGACGCCTGAGGGAGAGGCTGGGCAGCAGCAGCAGAAGCAGCAGGAGGAGGAGAAGCCTGTGGAGGAGATCCATAGTTCCAGGATACAGGGGAAGAAGCAACAGAGGAAGCCAGAGGGGGGGAGCAGGCGGGACCGTTATCAGCAGCAGCAGCAGCAGCAGCAGAAGCAGAAGCAGCACAAACAGACAAACACAGAACACAAGTTCCTTTCTCCACTTTTGCAAAAACTCCAAAAGCAGAGGCAGGAGGGGAACAGAGAATGGGGTCTGCAGGGGTTGAGAGTGGTGGAGCTAGGTGCAGGCACGGGCCTGGCTGGAATGATGGCAGCGGCGCTGGGAGCAGAGCAGGTGGTTCTCACTGACCTACCCCACGTGCTGCCGAACCTGGAGAGGAATGTGAAGCTCAATGCGGGTGCTCTCAGTGGCAGTAGTGGGATCGGGAAGAGCGCTGGTGGTGGTGATGGTGGGAGGAGGGAGGGTGAGCAGGATGGTGGGGTTCGTGATGTGGGTGGTGGTGAGGTGGGATGTGGTGAGGGGGGGGGAGGAAGGGTGGATGTGCGGGCGTTGCGATGGGGCCAGCTGGAGGATGTAGCAGCTCTTGCAAAGGAGCTCAGTGCAAGGGAGTACGATTCAGAGCCTTTAATAGCGCTCCAGCCCTCCGTGCCGTCAAAAGATTTGCAAGATTTGGACGCCCCGGGTTCGGAGCCTTCTACCCCGCTTTTTGACATTGTTCTGGGGGCGGACATTGTTTACTACGACACACTCTTCGAGCCGCTTGTGAAGACCCTGTCTCTGTTAGTGGGTAAGGGGCAGGGAAGTGGAGCAAGTGGGGGCAGTGGAGCAAGTGGGGGCAGTGGAGCAAGAGGGGGCAGTGGACTTGCTAGTGGAGGGAGTCGGAGCAGTCAGCTGCAGTGTGTGATGTTGCTGGCTCACATGAGGCGGTGGAAGAAGGATAACAAGTTCTTTCGAATGGTGGGGAAGCATTTTCATGTGAATCTGGTTTATGAGCATCCTGCTCCTGAAGGGTGCCGCAACGGCGTGAAGGTTTATGAGCTTCTGCCATTGTGATACCAGCAGGGCTCTCGCTAGGCTCTGGGTATCAAAATAATTGAATAATGGTAAAGTGAGAGTACACACAAATATATCTAAGTTTTGTATCCTCTAAGAGGTGACTCTATACAGTCTATACAAACATGACAAATACACATGTTTGACACACCCCCTAGACTGCATAGGGGAATACCCTAAACAAGCAGCTCAGGGCGGCACTACTAGTCCAACCTCTGAGACAAGGGTCTGAGCGACCGGTCAGAAGGAGTACAGACAAGGCAAGCACAAGAGCAGGGCGGCACTACTAGTCCAGCCACTGGGAGAGGACACAAGTCCAGTCTGAGTATACATATAAAGGACAGTACAAAGTCAAGGTCCTAGCAAGTGAGAGGCTACAGGAACTAGACCAAGCTGTACACAGTGCCGCTGATGATCTTTAGGCGCAAGCGCCTTCGTAAAGATATCAGCCGTGTTGGCACCTGAGGCCAAGTGTACTACGCGAGCCTGACGTCGCTGCTGTAGCTCACGCAGGAGGAAGTACCGCAGCTGAATGTGCTTCGCTCTGCCCTCGAGTCGAGGCTCCTGACACAGGAGGATCATGGCCCTGTTGTCAGCGAACAGGACCGGGGCAGAGCTAGGTCGCTCACCTAAGTCAGTGAGCAAGAAGGTCAGCCAGCGGAGCTCCTGTGCCGCCATGGCACCGGCGTAGATCTCAGCCTCACAGCTGGACTGTGCAACAGACGAGGAGCGAGTAGCTCTCCACGAGACGGCACCTGAGCCAAGGCTGAAGCAGTAGCCCTGGGTAGACCGGAGTGTCTCAGCGTCGTCTGCCCACGAAGCGTCTGTGTGCCCAGTAAGGACCGCTGGCCTGCGGCCTCCTAGCACTAACCCCATGCCCGATGTACTAGCAAGATAACGCAGAACCCTCTTAGCGACAGACCAGTGCTGCGGTTGGTGTCTGCCTGTGGCCACAAAGCGAGCCAGGATGCTGAGAGGGTATGCGAGATCTGGGCGAGTGCAAGTCATCAGGTACATGAGGCAACCCACCAGCTCTGCGTAGGGGCCGCTGGGCTCTACCAACTCCTCAGGCACTGGAGCGGAGAGCCTGTGGTCTACAGGCAGGGGGGTGGGCTGTGCAGAGGAGAACTGAAGGCTGAACCTCTGAAGGACCTGGCGCACCAAGTGTGACTGAGTCAGGGTGATGGTGCGCGCAGCTCTGTCCCTGGAGATCTGCAAGCCAAGGTAACGGCGCAGTTCTCCAAGGTCAGTGCAGGTGTGTCTCTTCAGTAGCTCTGCCTTCACGGAGGCCAGCGCGTCCCTGTCTGCTGTGGCAAAGACCAGGTCGTCGACGTAGACGAGGATGTAGAACGGAGTCTGGCCAGCACGAACGAAGAGTGAAGGGTCTGCAGAAGACGGAAAGAACTGCAGGTCAGCAAGCGTAGCACGCAGAGTGTCGTGCCACTCACGGGGAGCCTGGCGCAGGCCGTAGACGGGGCGCCGCAGGAGCCACTGGGTCCCAGGAGGGAAGGTGCCAGTAAAGCCCGGAGGGCGGCGCAGGTAGACCTGCTCGTGTAGGCTGCCCTGAAGGAAGGCAGTGGAGAAGTCGAGGGAGTGAAGCTCGTAGTCACGCTGAGCAGCTAGGTGTAACAGAACCCGAAGAGTAGTCATCTTCGGGGTCGGAGCGAAGGTCTGGAAGAAGTCCACCCCCTCGCGCTGACTGAAGCCTCTAGCCACATAGCGCGCCTTGAAGACAGGCGGCTCTCCAGGAGGGCGCTTCACCTTGAAGAGCCAGCGGCCATCGACTACGTTCACCCCAGGTGGGGGAACTGCGTCGACGAAGGTGCCGGTGGATCTCCAAGATGCCATCTCCTGCTCCATGGCAGCTATCCACTGCGAGGCCCAGGGTCCCGAAGTCGCCTCAGCGTAAGTGCGAGGGGTCGGGATGTCGAAAGCGTCTGGGTCACCCTCAGGGACTAGCAGCATGGAACAGAGATGGGGAGCAGCCTCGGAGAGGAAAGCAAGCTCGAACTGGCGGTCCTCCAGGACGTCACTGCCAAGGGCAGGAGCACCCCCGACAGACGGAGGACAGGCAGGGTCAGAGACCAGAGCGGTGGCGTAGTCAAGGCGGCGGGTAGAGGCGAAGTCAGCGACAGCAGCGACAAGAGCGTCAAGGCACGAGACTGGAACAGACGGGTCGGTAACGAGAGAGGCAAGGACCCGAGGAACGAGAGGACGAGCGGCACGAAGGTAGTCGGACAGCGGGGGGGGCGCAACAACAAGGGAGGACGGAGGAGGCGACGGCAGAAGGGGAGGACGAGACGCGTGTGAACGAAGCAACATAGGGTGGGAGCGCAGGACAGGCGAGGAAGGACGAGCACGGGAGGGACGGTGAGACCAGACGTGCGATGGAGGAGTCGGGTCAGGAGACAGGGGAGGGGACACAGGAGGGGAACGAGGGGGGAGACGGGCCGGGGACGAGTCCGGCGGAGGGAAAACAGGGCCGTAGACAGGAAGAGGAGGAGACGGTCGGGGAGGAACCGACACAGGGTCGGGGGACGGAAGGCCGAGCAGGCGAAGGGCGGACACCGGCGAGGACTGCTGCTGCGGCGGCACAACGGCGACACCTGGACCGCAAGCTGCTCCTCGGCTACCACCGGCACTCTCCACACCCGCACCCCCAGAAAGACCACCCTCAGGGCGACCGGGACGAGCACCCCCAGAGTCAGCGAACGGGGGCTGCGACTGCGGCGGCGGCGGCGGCGGCGGCGACGGCGACGGCTGCAGTGGCGGCAGGGACGGCGGAGGAGGGGACTGGGGAGGGGACACCTGGGGAGGGGCGGCCGGCGAGGACTGCACCGGAGGGCCACCAGAGTCAGAAGACTCCTCAACCGGGTCCACGGACGGAAGGGGGGTGACATGGGAGACACCAGAGGGGGCGGGACGGGGAGGAGGAGGAGGAGGGGCAGGGACTACCGGGGAAGGGGTGACCAGGAACAGGGGGGGGGTAACCGGGGACCACGGTGGGGGAAGCGGCGGTAGTAGGAGACGGACTCGTCAAAGGTGACGTCACGAGAGTGAAAGAAGCGGTGAGACGGCGGGTGGTAAAAGTGCCAGTCGGACGCGTCAAGGGGAAAACCGAGGAAGACGCAGGGAAGGGTGCGGGCAGTGAGCTTGTCCGTGCCGGAGGCACGGACGTGAGCAAGGCAGCCCCAGACGTGGAACGCAGACGCGTCACCAGGAGACCCAGTCCACAGACGGGTCGGCGAAACCTGCGGCTGCTGAGGGTGCGGCCACAGGTTAAGCTGGTGAGAAGCGTAGCGCACAGCGAACGGCCACAGAAAATGGGGTGCACCGGCATGGACCATGGAGGTGCGAGCGACCTCCATGACCAAGCCGATGCGTCGCTCAGCGACCCCATTCTGCTGTGGGGAGTCCGGTAGGGTGAACGTCTGGGTGATGCCCTCCGCACGACAAAAGCGACCAAGGACACCTGAGGCAAACTCGCCACCACGGTCTGAGTGAAGACGCAAGACAGGGAGACTGCGGTGGACACGCGCAGAGACAAGCCAGGGGATGAGGGCGCCAGGCACGTCGGCCTTGCGCTCCAGGGGAAAGACTGTGGCGTAACGAGTGAAGTCGTCGACAAGCACAAGGAAGTAGCGCTCGCGACGCGGCCCAGGGACGGGGGCGGGGCCCCAGACGTCCAGGTGCAGGGTCTGCAGCGGCGCGACGGTAGGGGGGAACGAGGAGGAGTGAGGGGCACGGCGAAGCCGACCCTCGACACAAGGCGTGCAAGGTGGAGCTGGGGAGGAGGGAAACGCGGGGAGTGAACCTGGGAGACCAAGGACAAGACCGTGCTGGGACATGTGACGCAGACGCGGGAGCGCAGGGTGACCTAGGCGGTGGTGCCACAGGAGGGTCGGGTGAGTGAGGGAGCGACAGGAGCACGGAGCAGCAACCTGGGTAGACACAGCCACCTGAGGGGGCACTCCAGCCGGGGGGGGCACGGTGTCCAGAGTGAACAGGCCGGACACCGGGTCCCGGGGGAACGTGGACAGGGGGGCACCAGTGGCGGCCTCGGTACAGACAGCATACCGCTCGTGACCAGGGAACGTAGTGGTGACGCCAAGGTCCTGGAGGCAGCCGACACCAACTAGGTTCCTGGAGAACGAGGGGATATGCAGACCTGTAAGAGAGCCCGAAGGAACCGCCGGACAGGGAAGGGTGGTGGAACTGCGGGCGACTACCGGGCCGCCGGAGGGGTCAGCAAGAGAAACGGCAGCAGGAACAGGAAGCGGCGTCAGGGTGGTGGAGTCGCGGAAGAAACACCGAGAGGCGCCAGAGTCCAAGGTGAAGGAAAGCGAAGCCGAGGGGTCTGGCGACGGAACGACGGCAGAAGCACCAAGACTACACGAAGCAGGGGATCCTACGCCTGACGCAGCAGGGGAGGCTAAGCTAGGCACACCTACACTAGGCAACAGTGAGTAATAAGTCGGAAGCACACTAGAGTCATCAGCATACATCACATGCAGAGCAGAAACAATGGCATCCATGTCCATATCAAAGATCTGAATCTGACGACTAAGCAAACTGTGCCAGTCCGGGAGGTCTGGCGACGGGCCGAAACGCTGACGAAAGAGGTCGTCCAGGCGACGAAAGCAGCGGGGAGTGGAGTGACCGATCTTACCGCAAACGAAACCGCGGCGAGGACCGGTCTGGATCTGGTACTGACAACGCCCGCCGGCAGAGCCACCACGCGGCACACCACCACGCGCCCGTCCACCGCCAGCGCCGGGCCACCCTGGCGGGAGAACACTCGTCTGCCGCGTCTGCGACGGCTGCTGCGGCTGCTGCGAAGGCTGCGACTGCGGCGGCTGCTGCGGCTGCTGCAACTGCAGGGGCGGCGACTCAGCTGGACTGGGCAGGGTCCCCTCGTCCGCTCCAGCACCAGGCGACCCGACCCCACCACTACCCCCGCCCGCACCCCCGCCGCCCCCTCCGCCGCGCCCAGCCTTGGGGCGGCGGCCCTTCCCAGAACGGGCCTGCGCTGCAGCAGAGCCGTCGGAGAAGGTACACTGAGTAGGGGCACAACCCTGAAAGATAGGGAC